CGCCAAATTTCGTGAACGCACTACACGGCAAACGTCCCGATACCATCCACACCATCTGGATGCTTGGCGGTCCACCACTGTACGTTTCAAAAGGAGTTTTCTTCCGCGTACAACCTCTCTGTGGAATAATTTACCACCGGTGATTTTTCCGGACCGATACGACCTGGGGACCTTCAAGAAAAGAGCTTACTCCTTTCTAAAGGACCGGCAACGCACCTGCAATTCCCCTGGTGTTGCGGTTGATCATGGGCGGCGGTAGTCACTTAACATCAGGTGAGCCACATGCTCGTTTGCCCCCCTCTTCTATAAAAAAAAAAGCTATAAATTTTGAGAACCATAGTGCAATTATGTGACTCTGATGGGAATCGTTGCTGGTTTCGGCGTATCGTTATGACGGCTCCGTGGCACTGTTCGAATCCCGCACGGAACAGGTGTATGTATGGCCTACAAATAATTGTTCCGCGTTTCTCCTAGTGCAATTTATGTATGTACACCCACGATACATGAGAAAATCCTAGTGTAGAGGTTATTTTTTTAAAGAAAAATTATTATTATTCCAAATTTGCCCTTGCAAAGTACTTTTTGATAATCTGTAAAGCTACGTCAGGTCAATAAGAAAAAACATGTGTGCTGGTCGCACGCGGTACAAGTGAAACCTTCAGAAAACTAAACTTCGAGAGAATGAGACGAATGCGTATCAGGATTAGGATAATTGTAGGGTTTATCTATACAATTAAATAAAATTGAAGTGTCTGTTTATAATGTCAAATTAACAGCTTTTTACTTAATGCGTATGAAAGTATTTTTTTTTATATGAAAAGGTGACAAGCGAGCACACAGTCCACCTGATGGTAAGTGTTTGCTGTGGTCCATAGACATCTATATCTATCCTCGTTTGCGAATCATAATGCACTTGCGTTGTCAGCCTTGAGGACTAAGATGAAATGTCTCTTTTTTTTGTAAAAAGGCTCTCCGGTTCTCTACACTCACCATACGAAATACAGCAGCATTAAGCTACTATTTGACGCTGGTATTCTGTGAGTGCGTGGTCCTTCCCCGGTCGAGCCGACTAATTCGTGCTACAAATATATACAATTAATATAGCTGCAGCATGGCTCTACCACGTTAAAACATACGGTAATTACGAGTATAAACAAAAAAAATATTACTTTTAAAATTTGTTTGTCTGTTTGTTCCGGCTAATCTCAGAAACGGCTGGACCGATTTTAACGGGACTTTCACTGGCAGATAACTGATTTTATAAGGAGTGACTTAGTCTACTTTAATTTTAGAACAAGAATTAGGGTTCTACGCAAAAAAAAAACATAATTCCAATTGTAATAAATTCCACGCGGATGAAGTCGTAGGGAACAGCTAGTTTATTATAATACTTTTACAACGTTTTAAGATTATTTTACATTTATTCTATTTATACATTGGTATTAAACATACCCCAACTTTTCAATTTCAACAAACCACACGAGTGGCTAAAGTAAGAATATTTAAATATTGATTTATTTAATATGATAATTTCTAATAATTTCCAACCACAATTGCGGCATAAAATTTACGATAAAAGTTTAATTTTGTAGCAAACTGACTGTTCCACGCGACTTCGCCCGCGTGTAATTTAGTGTTTTAATTTTTTTGCGCAGAACCCTAATTATTTTTCGAAAATAAAAGTAACCTAAGTTACTCCTACTCGACTATAGGCCAATGAAAGTCCCGTTAAAGTCGGTGCAACCATTACAGAGATTATCCTGAGCGAACAGAGACAAAAATTTTAAAAGTTGTAGTTTTGTTTTAAGTTTCGCATATTATTCGTTTATATGCATTTAGTAAAAAGCTATTATTTTTACATTATAAACAGACTTCAATTTTATTTATTAACCGACTTCAAAAATGAGGAGGTTCTCAATTCGAGTGTATGTTTTTTTCGTGTTACGCGATATCTTAGCAGATTGTGAACTGCTTTTTTAATTCTCTTTTTATTTAAAAGGTTTTAGCTTAATCTCATTAAAGTTTGAAGAAAAAATTCCGCTCACAAGGGTAGAAAATTAGGGGGAAAGGTTTCATATTGGACTATTTCATATGATATCTTTGCTTCGTTTTTTTTTCTTAAATCGGTTATATTTCAGGGCTGGTCTCATATAAATTTAGAGAAAAAATGCCATACAATAGGGTTGCAAATAAATAACTTCTTTTTTAGTAATTTGAAATCGGTTTTTACATTTTTTCAAAGTTATATATTATGTATAGATAATTGTATGTTACAATCCTTATTTTATATACGTTGAGACTAAATTTTAGTATAATAAATCAAAAGAATATTTTTTACGAGAAAAATTGCTTTGTAACAGCGCTATCCACTTTATTCTATAAGTAAAGTTATTTTTTCGAACAAAAATTTATTGACTCTCAAGGTGGTACGTAAAGACCCTAGATGGCCTGATGTTATGAAATCGTGATATTTTATGAATGGATTGGACGTGATATTTATCCGTTTTATTTATTTAATAAACTTATTAATTTTTATAAACAGTTTTTATATTTACCATCTTTAAATCACCGCACATAGGGAGGCCGAGATAATAGCAAACACATTTTTTTAATACTAGCAACTAATTGAAATTACTAATATTCCCTTTAAACACTACTGGTAATTGATTAAAACTACTTTTACGGATTTTATCGCGTTTAATTTATTTTATTTTTAATACCCGACGTTTCCTGAGTCCCCCGAGACCATGGGTGCTGGAAAGCACCGGAAACGTCGGGTATTAAAAAATTAATTAATTAAACGCGAAAAAATCTGTAAAAGTAGTTTTAATCAATGTGTAGTGTTTGCGTAAATATACGAAATCATCACTACTGGTAAGCTGAAAATGCTTGGGTTCGGATCGTTTAAGAATAAAAGATGCCAAACTAGCACACAGTTCACCTAATTTTAAGTAGATATTGTAACCCATAGGCACTTACATCTATGTATCTTCGATGAAGAATCGAAATGTAGATGCGTTGTCATCCTTAAGGACTAAGATGGAATATCTCGTTACCAGTAAATTGCTTCAACGGTTTTCTACATTCACCACAAAACATAGCAGCACTAGACTACTATTTTACACTGGTATTCTGGGAGTGCGTAGTTACTACTTAGTAGGTTCATGACAGTAGTCGAATGGCGGAATCGAACCCATAACCTTTTGAGATCGCGGTCCGCACCCTGCCATTAGGCTAGTGTCGCTTACTACTCTGTATTCTATCTCATTCTCTCGCAGTAGTAAATCCTATGGATGTATAAGCTTGTCTCTTTTTAGTGTCGCTTGTTCGTATCATCGATTTTCAAATCACTGCGATTCTAAAGAAGTTTTCGTTTCAAAAATCTAAATGAATAAACATAACGTAGTTGTGGAGTGATTTCCACCGTCAAATGATACCCAACAGTCTTACACAATTGTAATATATATACCAATACGTTCCAAAACAAGACCTCTCTCTACCCCTCTGATTATGGGTATGTTCCGAAATACAACACAGTACACTGTCGAATGCGAATGACGTCATTAATTGGCGTCGTATTCCACCATATTCGATACAACGAATCACCAATATGGCGTCGATTTATGACGTCATTCGCATTCGACAGTGTACTGTGTTGTATTTCGGAACATACCCTATATCATTGTGTTAACGAATTATTCATTCCCCGTGCGTCTCGCATGCAAATACATCGTCACTCGACAATCCACTTGTTGCGTACAAAGTAAATCTATAAAATAAATTGAAGTTATTCTAATTTAGCAGTCAGTTTGTAAATACAATATCACGTGTGCAGGATATAGGTACAGGAAAGATTTAAGACGCTGTTGTACATGTAAATGATAAATATTTTCGGCTTTGTTCAGAACAAAGAACGAAAGATAAATTTAAATTTGCCGTCCGATTAAATTTGCCGTCCCACACAAAACACACATGTCTGACAATTCCATCAATAGCGACTGTTTTGTCTATCGCCGTCATGGAGCCTCGATACGGGATCAAAGGCTCCAATCATATCCTCCCGCCTCGCTGAACAGTTCCAGCGGCAGTTTTTTTGAATTTCAGTGTCTTCAGGTCTTCTCCAGACACGGACACGTCGTTTATCTGTATGATTACTGATTCGCGATTCGTCAACGAAGAGACAGTTTTGCCAAATGTTTTCCTCCTCATCTTCGTTTTGCCGGAACCTAGCACACTGCAATCTTCGTCGCTGATGTTGCTGTGAATTTAGAGGTGCTCGCCAAGCCCTCTGTGCTCGTAGCCCAGCCTGGTATAATCAGTTCCGAATAGTCAGAGTGCTAATAACTAACAAGTCTAGAGGCGTCATCTAACGTGGCCACGACACAGGATTGGGACACAGCAACTATGAGTGCTATTTCTCTTGTGTAATATCCTTCTTCCCTCAGTCACAAATCTTGCTCGTAAATTTTCTGATAATCCTCTTGGCATTTTTTCAATCACAACTTTACTCGAAAAAATATTTTAAATCCCATAAAATTGACAAAGTCAGATTTCTGAATGAGCGTAAGCTTGGATTGAATTTCTTTTTATATGGAAAAACAATTGAATTTGTTTTATGTGTTTTTGTTCTTATTCTATATTTTTAGTAAAGAATCTAAAAAGAAGAAAAAACAATATAATATAGTCAAGCGTAACAAAAAGATTTCGATTTTTTTCAAAATGATCGCAAATTTTTTGATGTGTATATGATGTATGTCTATTTTTTGGCATGCTAACATATATAACAACATATAGGATGTAAAACTTTTCTCTTATCTGTAAACTTTTTTGACGTTATGTAATTGTTAAATTATTAATTTAACTGTTTCAACTTGTTGTTATGTTAATCTTTTCTTGGTGTACAGTAAACATTATTGTATTGGTTTGGGGTTTGTTTTAGTGATTATTTTGGTTGTCTAACGGACTCGTAGATTCACTGTATGCTCTCCCCACTGTTGCAGTCGCAATGCTCGTCCCAGGAGCGGCTGCTGGCGGTGCAGGCGGTGTGCGAGCCGCCTCGCGCGCCCTGCCCGCATTGTCACCAGCACCAGAACTCGCTCAAGTAAGTTACGTTCATGGCTACATCCATCATCCATCACAGCTTGTAATAATCCAATTCTGAACTTACCTCAAAGATTGCCTCATGGGAGCATTTTATGGAAGGCAGGTTGGCATTTTTGGCATTTTTATTTTGATTTGTTATTATGATGACGCTGCGCTGCCCATCTCCTGTTTCAATTTTCCTCTGACGCCTCTTTCGACACACACGGGACGATATATTCTTATACCACCACTACAAGGTAGTCGTCATCATCACAGGCTTTTTATAGCATAAGGGTTGCAAACGAGCACACTGTGCACATGATGGTAAGTGGATACTGTGGCTCCTAGAAAAGATCCTACTATTTTTTAAAAGGTTGGCAACGCATCCGCAATTCCCCTGGTGTTGCAGCGGGAGTAACTTACCATCAAGTGAGCCGCATTCTTGTTTACCCCCTTTTATATTTAAAAAAAGACATCAATCCTCGATTAAGAATCAAAATGCAGGTAAGTTGTCGCCTCTGAGGACTAAAATGGAATGCCTCGTTTGCAGTAAAAATGGTCTCCGGTTCTCTACACTCATACTGCTATGTAGCAGTTCATGCTGGTGTTCTGTGGAAGCGTGGTGCTTCCATGCTTTACACGTCGCTTATCGCTAAGAGACTGCCACTCGAGAACCCACATTTATTCCTTTCGGATGTCCAGATTCCTGTATCCTGTATCTGTATGACCGACATTTTGCCACTTTAGCTTATGAATCCGCTGGGTTGTGCCGACTACTCTAATTTCTATTGCGGGTATCATTGTTATGTATTATTTTACACAGAAAAACTCCGAGCATAGTCCTCACCGTAGCTTATACGAATGAACGGCATATGGCTGATTGGTTGAGTTTATTTTCTTCCTTATAATAGGCCTAAATGACCCTAAAAGAAATTTCTAATTTCAATATATTAAGTATTTGCACGTTTTATGGACAACAGAGTCTGATTTTTACTGTTTTAAAATGATACACAGAGACGCGTAGATTTCTTTGTAATTGTGCTTTTTTCGTCTCGCATATATCTTCAGAAAAAAATCTAATATCGTCTCCAAATTAATTTCATTTGACGCAAAAATTCGTAATGAATTAGTTTTCATTATAATCTATTTGGTAGATATCTTAACAATAAAAAAAATATTTACAATTCGTCACCAACAAATTGGAGGTAGTTAATAGTGAGGGCAGGCCACGCTCAGTTTGTTTTTATCAGTTTTCATTAAAATGTATTTGGTAGATTTTTAAAAAAAATATTTACAATTCGTTACCAACAAATTGGAGGCCCAGGTTTTTTTAATTTTTATTTACAGAAGTAATAATTTGTTGAAGTATACTTTCGGCCTAAAGTACCTAATGTTTTCGTAACAAAAATTAATAACTATTATAAATGAACGTTCGGTAATTCACTTAAAATTTTGTATTTTAGTGAAATGATTCAGTCTTACTACGGGTATAATGTTGTATGGCAAAGGAACTGATAAACAGCTGATAATTGTAATGTCTTTACGGATACAGAAGTATGCTACGTTCTTTATTAACTATATTAGATTATTTATAATAATCTAATATAGTTAACTTGTTTTTGATAGCGTATAACGATAACGACCTAAATGGCGATTACTTGTTATTTTATTATTTTTATTTGTATATTTTTGTTGAATTTAAACAATTTTTAAACTAAAGTACCTATATACGGGCGGAGTTTACTTCATACAAAAATTTACGTTTTCTCTATTGGTAATGACACTATAGTAAATATTTTTTTACGATAGAATTTATATCTACCACGAACATGTTCTTGTGTTTTGTTTTTTTAACCGACTTCAAAAAATGGAGGAAGTACTCAATTCGACTGTATTTTTTATTTGTTACCCAGGTGAACCGATTTTGATGACTATTATTATGTGATCCCATATTAAATTGATCAAGATCTGGCCAGTAGTTTAGTAGTTATCCTTAATAATGCGTATTGAATTGACTTCGACTAGATTCGATGATGCTCTATTTTATGTATATTGAAGTCGGTTGTAATTTTTTTTTATTTTGCCACTTGTTTCATAAATTAGTTTTTATAAACGAGAACTTTCTTAAACTGCCCAGTAGTTATCCAGCAAAGAAATGTAACGAATGTAAAAATAAAGGAGAAACGTACACACAAAGCCACAATCATTCTTATATTGGATATGGAAAAAGAAAAAATCATCCAGCTTCGAAATATGTACAAGAGAAAAAAAATCATGATATCTTAAATTTTTCACAGATCCGAGTTTGCACTATCACTCTCGGTTGTCTTGCTCGGTCTTTCGGGTGCAGCAAGTCAGCAATAAATCTGTTAAAAATAATATCCGACCGAACCGAAGCTTCGACTTCGCCCACCTTTGGCAAAAAAAAACCATCTTTATACGTGGTAGAGCCACGCTGCAACTATATTATGGTGGTAGCACGAATGGGTCGGCTTGACCGGGGAAGGACCACGCTCTCACAGACAGCGTAGGTCCTGTACACTGGTATTTCTAATGTGAGTGTAGATATCCGAGAACCCTTTTTTACTGCAACGAGGCATTCCATCTTATTCCTCAGGAGTGACAACGCATCTATGTTTTGATTCTTAATCGAGGATAGATATAGATGTCTATGGGTCACAGCATCCACTTACCATCACGTGGACTGTGTGCTCGTTTGTCACCCTTAGGTATTCTATTATATAAAAAACCCTCGGCGAAACCTTCGGCTTCGGCCAAAATGGGCCGAAGTTTTGACAAAAGCCGAAGGTTTTTCGCAAGCGCCGAAATTAAAATACGAATGAGCGCTGATGTGACGGACGTGGCGATGCAATGGACGTGGCGACGCAATTATTATCATCTCTAGAAGTTAATCCGATTAAAATTACCTTTTTATTATTGTACAGTCAATAATAAAAACCTTTAATTTTAAAATTTTAAAATCATTTATATTATTAATTTTAGTCAATCTTGAACTGAATTTCTTTGGAATTTTAAACCTTCGTCTTCGGCCAGAAATTGACCTTCGGTCGGACTCTAGTTAAAACCTATTCTTCAAATGTCATGCCGCCCAGACATGCACCAAAACAGAAGACACTGTTGATAACTAGAGGCATTATCGCCTATAGCCAGAAACGTCGTATATGTGTAGACGACGGTATATAGTCAAGGATACCTCTGACTGTCGTCGTCGCTGGCCATTTTATCGACCGAGATGCAGTCGTCCAAAAACGCATCTATTATAAGTGATAAAGCTTAGTGAAACTTGAAGGACACAATTTTTATGCCTAATATCGACCTTACAGCATTACCATTGTTGTTTAGTCGTTATAAATGTATTCGTAAGGAAGATTCCCTATCAAAAATACGGAAGGCCGTTAAGCCTCGTTGGAGGTCGATTCGAATGCCGAACGGAAGCGATTATGAGTCAATTATTTTGAATTTATTGGAGGAGATGCAAATTTATTGAACTCTCCGATATACCTACTATGATTTAAGTAATATTTTAAATGAACTGAAATTCGAATATCTATATACTCCATTTAAAAACAACATTTTTTTCAGTCCCACGCCCGGGTTTGAGTACTGGGTTGAATCACGCTGCAACGCGTCGCACTCTTCGCCCAAATAGTTTTGCTCCCACCAAAAAAAAAAACACACAAACATTGTGTGTTTGTGTTTTTTTTTTGGTGAAGATTTCAGAATGCTTATTAAATTATTTATAACTTTAGTAGATGTAACTTATTATAATGTACTTCATAAACACTTGTTTTGGCTTACAGTTTAGTATATACTTAATTATTTAATTTTAAGAAACTTTTATCTCCATAACCGTATACTGTATTTTGTTATTAAATAAAATAAAATAAAATAAAATATCCTTTTTACTGGTAACGTGGCATTCCATCTTAGTTCTAAGGGTAGAAAAAGTATCTTCTGCATTTTGATTCTTAATTCAGGATAGATGTAGGTGTCTGTGGGTCACAGTACTTATATACTTTCAATCAGGTGCACTGTGTGTTCGTTTTCACCACCGTTAATCCATTAAAAATACTTGAATATTTTACACGTAACGTACGTTTACACGTACATGCCAAGAGTTAAGCGTAACAATGACAGCTGTATTTTTGTTATAGAAGTTCATGTTTAGAATTGGACTTACAAGACATAGGTAAGAGTGTGGACAGAAAATAAAAAAGCTACTTTTTTTTAAATAGGATAGAGTGACAAACGAGCACACAGTCCACCTGATGGTAAGTGGATGCTGTGGCCCATAGATCCCCATTTACACTCGATTAGGAATCAAAATACAGATGCGTTGTCACTCCTAAGGACTAAGATGGAATGTCTTGTTTCCAGTAAAAAGGGTCTCCGGTTCTCTACACTCACCATACGAAACACAACAGCATTCAGCTGCTACTTTACGCTAGTATTCTTTGAGAGCGCGGTCCTTCCTGGTCGAGCCGCTGCTTGTTGTGGCCCATAGACATCCAATTCTATCCTCGATTACGAATCAAAACGCAGATGCGTTGTTACCCGTGAGGACTAAGATGGAATGCCTCGTTTCCAGCAAAAAGTTCTCTACACTCACCATACGAAACACAGCAGCCTTAACCTACTATTTTACTTTGGTATTCTGTGAGACTATACATAGAGAGAGATCTAATATAACTTAGGTTTCATTTGCTGTTTCTTCTTTGGTCGGAGAAACCTTACTATTTGTAGATTTAAAAAATATATAAACGAATATATAATGCGTCGATAAAAAACACATTTAATTAAACTACTCGTGTATTTTGATTGCAGCAGTTCGCAGGGCTCCGGCATGAACTGGGCGTCGCTGTCGGACAGCGGGGGCAGCGGGCACGCCCCGCGGGCTCCTTCACCTCGACCCACACCGCGGCGAGTACGCAGCCGCAGTCTCAGGTTTTTTTAAAAATGTAACCTTACCTCTGTGGCGGTGCCGTCGTCACAAGCGAAACACACCGAAGCCTAAATCACGCTATTAAAGTTGCGAAGTACAGCGCTATATACTGAACAGCTCTGTACACATGGAGCCTTGGACGCTTCTCGGGCTGATCACCTAGCCCGGCGGAAGATCTCCTCTTTTCCTACCACGATCAAAGGATTCTCTCCTGTCTAGTGGGGGCAGTTTATATACATACATTTCACAAGGACAAATATCTAGATCCGGAACAATTATTTGAAGGCTATATAAATACTTGTTCCGTAGTATTCGAACCCGCAGCCTCCAGCGCCGCAACTCATTGCTAATCTACTGCGCCACGGAGTCAATGGGTGCGTTTGGCAGAAAAAAGCGCTAGCAAGCGCTTGTAAGCAAAATGGCGAAACTAAACAATTTTCGGCCAGGACACGTTTGCTAACTTCAGTGCGCTGACACAATCCGCCACTTTGCTTATTTAATTTGTTTATTTTGGAGTAGAGTTTATAAGTTGCTTTGTGCAATATTAGTTTTAAGTAATATAATGACATGAATAAACATATTATACATGTTATTAAAAATTCATGATTGGTAAGTTTTTAATATGAAAACTTTACAAACATATATTTAAATTAGGTTAGGTTCCCCGGTTAAAACTAACTTCGTGTCCCAGAGGAAAATAGCTACTCACGATTTGACAGCGCTTACCGCTTACGATCGCCATTTTGCTTACAAGCGCTTTTTTCTGCCAAACGCAGCCATTAATAATCTGATACACTAAACGGCACGGATATACATGGCTTCGTTCACATTTACCATCGCGTTATCACAGTCTAACTGCTACTAACAGTCGATCATCGAAGGCGTCTAGACGGTGCAATCGTGCGGTGCGCTGCGGGCTGAGATGCGAGTGTAGTGCTCCCTAGCGAATGTTAGATGCTCGTAAACTTTCCGCTAGGGTGGTCTTGTCACGGAAATAAAATGGTTCACCCTACATGTGCGGTAAAAAACTGTGGGTCCTATTACCGATTTTTATTATGTCTGAATACTTATTGTCTGATTAAGTTATTTAATTTGTTTAAACGTGAAATAAAATAAAATCAGTTGTTTATTTTTTTATTACCTCCCATTCTGACAACTCTAGCAATTTATTGTAACATCAAACGCGTACTAACTGTAATGTTCTTATTAGGCTGTTCGTTATCTTTAGATCCCACAGTTAAACTTAACTGTGTAGTGGCGGTGTAAGAATATCCACATAGAAGTATAAGTCGTAGTAAGCATTTTACACGAAGATGTGATTTATTAATTATTAGTTATACTAATATATAAATCCATTAATGAGGGTTACTGATTTAATATCTTTCGTTAATGGTAACTACTTTAAATGTATTTACAAAATCTAATATCACCTTCATGATCATTACATTACAGACCAATGTTGAACATAGACCTCCTTCAAGTAATGGCCATAAAGCACGGCCCTGAGCCTGAGCCACTTGCATATATCGACTTCCTATATGTTAAAAATGTAATAGTATTTATTTAAGTAGCCACTCGACTGCACTGTGTAGTTTTTCCAATTGTACTGTAAAATATTAAATAATAAAAACTTTTCAATACTTAAAAATGATTGTTTATGTTAAGATAATTAGCGTTATTGATAGAAACATAAGTATTGCCACGAACGTTGGCGTTTAATACAACCGTTCTTGCCTATGACTATCTAGCCGCCCACCCGCCCGTGTCCGCACTGACATACTCTGCTCGTGCATACAAGTCGCGGAACGTAAGTCTAGCGCTGAACGAACCTTGGAGGGGACAGCTGGGCATGTCGTATCATTACGCCAATAGTTGTAGCCGTACGCAAGTAGCAGTAGCCAATCAGCGCGTGTGAACGATACGCACAACCAATCAGCGATACGCACGCCCGCCCCTCGAACCGATTACTACACCACGGTACCTTATTTTCGACATATGCGCAATAACGGTCACCGCTAGACTTTTGTGCCGATACTTATACTGCAGGTGTACAATACATGCGTATGTACGAAATATTTTTTTGCGTCTGCCCTAATACCTGCTTTGCTATGTACACAAATGCAAATGTAGTAACGGTGTAAGAATATACACTAACCCATTACGTCATGTTTGGTGTCGTAAAAGGCGACAGAGGGAAACCATGACATGGGGAGCATCATCTTCGAAATAACCACTAATAAATACTGCGTCAAATATACTCCCTAATCTTAGGAGGGGGTCCATGTTCAGCGGATGATTATTGATAAGCTTAACGGATTCGAATCAAGTTCAATGGTAAAATATATTGATGATTGAGCATATATTATGCAGCACATTTGTAGCCCCACCAGTGAGTGAACTATGTATTTTTATTATCAGTTCACCGTCACGGTCGCCGGGAGGTGGGTCGGGCGGGGAAAGCGCGCGTGAAGATGCCGTGACAGCCATGTCGGCACTCTTCGCAGCCCGTTTCCCCGCCGCGCAGAAGCACATGGATGACAGGTCAGTGCGCACACACAAACACACACGCATGTGCACGCGCGTGTAAGTGCACGCACGCACGCACTTGAACACGCCATAATGTGTTATGGGCATCTTCGTCACCACATAATAATCTAAATCAACCGAACAACTAGTAGACTTTGTTTCGGTCTTCGATCAATAATACCAACTAGATAACGGGTCACGTACAAAATCATAGCTAAATACTGTCCGCATGAATATAAACTATGAAAACACATAAATTAAATAACATTTAGTGTGAAATCAACCTTGTTATAACAAATAAAGTTCTTTTTCCCGTTATTGCCTTGCGAGCTACACTCTCACGTGCAAGAGCCATTGACTTATATATTACTAGCGTAAGGACGGACTGGGCATTGTGGTGACGATTTGCCTTACATGTTGATGGTCGATGAAAAATAAAAAGATTAAAAAAGAACATGGGATATCGTGTCATCGGTAAATAACCTTATATTAATTTTGTTACAATTAAATTATTATATAATCGCATTTTTAAAGTTTTATTTTACAGTTAGTTCAGTTACGTTACCAAGATTAGGCCAGGTTTGGATTCAGACCCTCAAAAATATTGTACATGGAAAGTAAAATTACACTATTTAAAAAAATTATATCACGTTTGACGTTTCATGTTTCTTTTTTCCCATGTGCCGGGATTTTGCCGTCATGCGTCTTGTTTATGTATACGTTTCGGTTTTTGACGGTTTTATTTTTATTTTCGTTTAATTTTTGTCTAAAGAACTCAGTGTGAGCTAAATTTTGAATATTGGTACCTAATATATTTTATATGCAATAAATATAATAATAAGGGTAAAACGAAAAGAGTACAAAAGAAACCATATCTGCTTAATTGAATCTGAAAATCTGATGCATAAAATATTTTGAAATTCTGTTTTCAAACCGATTGCTTCTGGAGCATAGAGTTTTTATCGTGGTAGTGCATCGATTGAGCATCGATTGACCAGAAAGGGAGCTCATTCCATTTTTTTTTAAAACGCGGTACTCATGTATAATACAGAAATTCTCGATATCGTAGGGTTAATATTAAAATGTAAAGGACCCAATAATAATACAAGTCGACCTTTAGGTAAAATTATGGTAATTTTGCTTAGTATTATTACGATATTGTGTACTACAAACTATGAAAATAGGTACAATTAGGATAATAATACTATGAAATCCGACCCTGATTAGGTCGTGTTTTGATATGACGTTTGTATTATGACAGATGCGCTACTTTTTCTTGTATGAAAAAGTTATGAGTAAAATATTTAGATGGGCCTATCCTTACTTTTGAAATCATTGGCAAGAGCTCACGTCTCATGTGCGCTCTTATTTACTGAGATGGATTTCTTGCGCCGACCCGATATCTAGTTGGTATTGCTGATCGAAGGTTTCGGTAATAAACAGTGTACTTTCTTCGAAAACCTTATCCAGGTGACTACACCACATAAACTGATGATAATGTGAATTTCTTTTCCTTCGAGAACTGATCTGCTAAATATTAAGTATTAATCATCATTTAGAGAATTTCTTGCAGAAGGTTTTCATGAATAATACGTCAGAAAAGTAAAGAAATGCGTGTTGTGATAGATTTGTAGAAAGATATCATTGCACTGGCGAGTGGCCACCAGTGTAATACGAAATAGTCCCGCTGGGTTACTTGCTGTTTCTTCACAGGACAAAGCTTTTTTTTTCCGAACCAGTGGTAAAAGCATAAATGATTGTAAAGCATAAATAATTGGTAAAGCATAAATGTTTTTATTTTAGTTATCTATATTTTATTTACATTTAGATTACTTTGCTTTAGATGTAATTAATGTTTTGCTCTACTCTTTTATGTCTTTGTTTAAGAACTTCATCAGAAGATATTTGTGAGCATAACGAGCAAACATGCACCCGCACTTTTAAACGGATTCGGATTAGGTCTTCGTGGCTTAGAGGCCTATGGAGGCCGGTGTCATTTTCCCATTTCCCGTAAACCCCGAAGCAACTTGATGCCAATAGACAGTTACTTTGCTTTTAGGTTAATCCAGCCCTATGTACACACAAACATGTTGTTACTTGTTAGAACTTATGTTAACAAATTAGTAGCTAGAAACTCGTCAATGATATATTGTTATAATGATATATTTTTAAATATACTGTTTTTGTAAAAGAATTAACGAAAATTGCTTGAGGTTAGTAGCTTTGTTTGAGTTAGATAATTGCGATAAACAGAACAGAAATATTATCCGACACTATTCCAATGATATCCCGTCGTCAGTCTGAGCGAAATTAGAATGGCTCTCCAGCACCTTAAAACAGCAAGGTCCCAGGCGAAGATGGAATTACAGCGGAGCTTCTGAAAGCGGGTGAAAAACCGGTACTTTGAAGTCCTTCAGAAGCTCTTCAATTCCGTCCTCCACGGTGGGACTATTCCGGAGACGTGAGCCGAAGTGCGGTAGTCTTGTTCTTCAAGAAAGTTGACAACGCTCTCTTGAAGAATTACAGACCGATTTCCCTTCTGAGATGCTCAGAAGGGAAATCGGTCTGTATTTGTTCTATTTTTAAGAGTCATAAGTGAGTCTTGATCCATATGTCAGTGATGACTTATGGATCAAGGTCGCTCAGCGAGCTATGGAAAGGGCTATGCTCGGGGTTTCTCTGCGTGATGAACTAAAACATGAGGATATCCGCAGTAGAACTAGAAATATCGACATAACCCAACGGATTAGTAAGCTGAAGTGGCAATGGGCCGGGCATATAGCTCGAAGTACCGACAACCAATGGGGAAAAAAGGTTCTCGAGTGGCAGCTTCGTACCGTTAAGTGAAGTGTAGAGCGATCCCCCTCTAGATGGAGTTGGGATGGGGATGGGACATGCAGGAAGTTGATGGATGAAGGTGGCTCAGGACCGTGCTTTGTGGCATTCCTTGGGGGAGGCCTATGTTCAGGAGTGGACTTGTGAAGGGAAATATCTGGAAAAGGAAATCCTTTTAAACTACGCTAATGTAAATAATCATTATGCCTAATAAGAATTGTATGTTATTTTTAGATCGAATTTTTGATTGTCAGATTACGAGCTCTTATCGACGAGTTGACGGAATTGGACAAGAAGCCTGATCGGCCGCCTATTGAAAGATTCGTACAAAGACAGGTGAGAAGATAATATCTTTATAATATTAAACAGTAGACTCGTGATATATTGTAATGATACTGATTTTAAGCGGGTTCAAAAAAGAAGGCATTTTCGAATTTTGTAATAGCTCTGACGTTAGATAACCAACTTTGCAGGTTTTTACGTTAAAGTAAAATTTTTTAGTGGTGCAATAATAACAAGACGTGATGACAATTGGAAGTCACTTATTATTTTTGAATTGTACAATTTTCTATACAGGTGTTGGAAATGGCACGCGACTGTCTGCACAAGTCCGAGTCGAAGCAAGTGACCAGCAGTTATTTCTATGATATGGCGGATAGTTTGGACAGGCTACTTGCAGAGGTATGTTCATTTCTACGTGTTAGAGCCATGCTGCAGTTATATAGTTGTAGCACCGAATGAGTCGGCACGACCGTGGAAGGGCAACACTCTCACAGAATACCAGCGTGAAATAGCAGCTTAATACTGCTATGTTTCGTATGGTGAGTGTAGAGAACCGGAGACCCTTTTTACTGGTTCCTCAGGGATAATAACGCATTCGCATTTTGATCCTTAATTGAGGATAGATGAGATGTCTATGGGCCACAGCATTCACTTACAAACAGGTGGACTGTGTGCCCGTTTGTCACCCCTATTTTATGAAAAAAAATTTATTACTAGTGGTCGCCTAGTGGTCGAACTTCGCGTGTAATTCACCTCATCATGTAGATGTTTAATATATAAAATACTAGGTGGCCAGGTAGACTTTGTTCTGCCCTTTCCAATAACAATTTTTTTTAAATCTTTAAATCAGCAATAAAAATATTTAGATTTAATCGGGATAAAAACTGTCCTATTTCTGAAGCTGGAGGAAGTAATATACATTTACAAAATTTCATTGAAATCGGCTAAGGGGTTTCGGAGTTCATCTCTTTAAAAAAACAAAACTAAAAAAATAAATGCTTTTTGTCTTGACTATACTATTGAAAAAGGAATATTTGAAATCAAACAAAATTTACAGTTTATTCAGTCAAGCTGTTAATTATTTGTTGGCAATATTTTAAAACTTTTTTGCGACAATTTCTAATTTGTGTGACTGACTATAGACTATTAAGTTAGTGTTTGACAATGGCCTCAGAGTAATAACATACGTATGCTTGTAGTTAATCTTAGACATTGGCAATATGAGCGTCAAAAACGTAGACAGAGAAACCTATAGACTAATGATTAGCGTGGCCTCGAGTGAGAAAGGACGATAACGTAGTTTTAGGTTATACAATAATCTTTATGATTTTTAAACATATTTAGATAAAAATTTTACTTGTTCTAAGAACTGAACTGAACAAGATTCACCAATCTTAAACTCACAAAATACTTTTTTCTCACTTAAACCAACTTGTAAACTCCTTAGATCACTAGGAACTGTCAAAGTTGTTTAGCAAACTACACTTTGCTTTGCAAAAAAACCGACACGGAGAAAGAGACAAACAATCACATCGCTCTGTCTCATTTCTATGCAAGACGTATGCATAAATCTATCTTTTTCGTGTGCGAATGCGAAAGAAGGCGTCAATTTGTCTATAGGTTTCTCTGTCTACGGTCAAAAATGACATATTTTTTCCAAGCGACAATAATTGTGTGTCAAACACAGTTGGGAGTAAGAATGTAAACATTGTATATGTGTTAGTTTATTTAATGTAATGTATTTACACATATTATACATTTTATCTTTTTGCACATTCCTCTTCCATATAAAGTGTAACTATCTCACAGTCCTCCGTGTGCGCAATGTTCTTAAAAAGTGGTATAAAGTTAATAAGTAGTGGCGTGGGTATGCAGACGCGCGAGAAGTCCGGGGAGGCGGGCGCGCAGGTGGCGCCGCTGGTGACGCGGCTGGTGCTGGCCATGGCGCGGCCGGCGCGACTGCTCGAGTGCCTGGAGTTCGACCCCGAGCGCTTCTACCGCCTGCTCGAGGCGGCCGAGGGGCACGCGCGGCAGGCACAGGTGCGCACTCCTTAGCTTCCACACATTTACTACGGTATTAAAAAAACGTCACGTTTTCTTGAAACGTTTCACCGCCGGGGCTGCATGAGTATACTATTATTTAACCAACTTATGTAAAATATAAAATAAAATAAGAATTATATGTCGTGAAGAAGTTTCACTTCATACAATTTTTTTTTCAAACTGCATTACATTACTATGATTACAATACGACAGTCTACTTGATTGAGTGGTAAGGATGTCGAGGCACACCGCGACAGGCGTAGGCGCACACTCGTTAGCGTCAACACCTGTTTGTGTGTATGTTTTTTTATTTAAATAAAGTAGCAAACGAACTTAGAGTACGTGATGGGAAGTGGCTTATGAAGTCAAAAGGCATCGAATTTCGACTTCAAACAAAAAAGGCTGCAAATATGCTGTCACCTCTGAAGACTTAGCTGGAACGTTCATAGTTTGAATTACACTGGCTCTGTATACTTTTCTAGGCCATAACACAACAGTGCCATTTAGCAGCAAAAATGTATCAGACACAGACAGACGCCTACGCAGAAAAGAAGTCATAGTGAATATGGTTATTCATTCGCTCATTAATTTATTACAGTATATCACAAGTCCCTCTTTGAACATAGTCCTCCATAAACAGCCTCATTCACAAACAATCAACCATCAGTATGTTTTTATGTTTATATGTGTGCGTGTGTGGATCGTATTCTTACAGTAAACAGCAGGTTTCGGCATATGTAAAATGTATATGTTCAGACTTTCTTTGTTGATCTGATATAATAATTATAATTCCACGTTTTTACAACATACTGTATCGGATCGTAACATATATAATATCATAGATTGCATAGTAATAATATAAAGTTAATATTTTAATATACTTGTATATTAAAATATTAACCTTATTATACATTGATAGGAAAACAAATATAGATATTATCATGAATGAAGTTTTATTTAAGGAAAGTTACTTACTTTGGAACGTCGGACGTTGCATGTTGGACGTTGCACGTTGGACGTTGCACGTTGGACGTTAGACGTTACAGGCTGGAATGTAATAACGTGTGAGTTGTGTGGCAGGGCATCACGAGCGACATCCCGCAGTACATCATCCACAAGCTGGGGCTGTCGCGCGACCCGCTCGCCGAGCTGCAGGCGCCGCCGCCACCGCCCATGAATTCCTCGCCCTCCAAGTAAACTGGCATTTATAATATTACTACTAACAATATATACTAATATCACAGGCCAAAAATTCAAAAAGGAGACGAATATTATATTAGATTAACAATATCATTGTGTTTGTGATAGGACTTAGTCGTATTTAACATAAACAAAATGCTTAATATACATATATGCTGATATAATACATAAGAAAAACAGTTAATATGATTTGAATTCGTGTATTGCAAAACTGTCTGCTCTTAAGCAAACATCAAAGTGCTCCACTTTAGATGGTTTCTGATGTTTGTATGTTTTTACTTAATAAAATTTGACATATAGAAAAAAATGAGATAAAACGAAATAATGAAAAATTATAATTGCTTGAGCTCTCTCAAGCAATTACAATTAAAGAAGGATTTTTTTTTACATTAGAGCCCTGATTAGTATGTTTTTTGCTTGGAATAAGAATATTGTGTACCTTCAGAAAGGACGTTGTCCACTTTTTGAAAAGTAATTAGTTATGTCCTGAAAGCTACAAAAATAATTGTTGAACATTATAGCGAATCTGATAAATGAAATCAAAATTTCATACAATTGAAAAAGTGCTTCATTTCAGTAACAATTTATGTTTTCAATCACCTATGGATCATAATTTCTCAATTCCCAATTGCTGCGTGATGCTCGACTCCTTACAAAAGTCGCTACCCACGTACTGCAGCGGTGTTGCAGGCAGCGTTCAGAACCGTACGATAATTATCGTACACATACAATAATTTCGTGCCTACGTACGATGTACGATAACACATTATTATCGTACGCAAATTGTACGACATTTCCATCATGATGCAAAATTTGAGTATTTACTTTATTTTACTTATACGCTGATAGCCTAAGAGCGGAAATTTTGTTCGAGTGAATTTCTTTGGCGCGTTTATTGGACTTAAAATTAGATGTGTAAAAGTAACGAAAAAATAGCGTACCCGTCTGTTTATGTTACTATAACAATTAGTACTTGTTACATTCGTATAGTTACGTTACTCGTTACTTCTGATGCCTCATAACATGCTATGTTATGTCAGAGCATCGAATCAAGTCGTATTACGTACGCGTAGTATGACGTCGCGGCGTCGCAACATTTATAATTTGTAGAAAACATACTTATTTCTAATTTGTAAAAAATACCTTCTTACCTTGTTTCTGTTCCAATCTAAAACTTTGTCCACACACACAAATCTTTATAAAACAGTAAAAAAAAAACATTTGGACGACGAATTTCCAAATTATACTTAATAAACAAACATCGCTCTTTGTACTGTACGTTTTTAAATTCACCGAATAAGCAAATGTTTCAACACACGCATCAACGGTACTTGCGTGAACTGAAACTTTGTAGGTACCAATACTATGAAAAATGCGAGTAACGAAATGCATTCAAGTGTAAAGTTTCGTTATCTACTCGGTACTAGACGCAGCCGTTACTCAGTACCGAATACATACGGTTTGCTACAGCTCTACCTAAACGGAAAGGGAGTCTGTTCAGGTTTGTACCATGAGTAAGACATATGTTGATTTGAAAGCGGTCCCTTAAAATCGATAAACTACAGGGTACGTACATACATACCAATATTACGTTTAAGGGGAAATAATAAAAATACTTCCTCAAATGGCTTAGCAAGATCCTCCGTTACGCCGAAAGTGTTGCAGGATTAATGTTAAGTACTATGTTAGACGAAAACACGATTCCGTAAAATTTTCTCGATAGAAAAAAATCCAAAGTTACCTCTAAACCGCTGGTATTCATAAAATACTTTAAATTTGATCATGAAACTTTGCATACTAACTAAAATAACTATAAAGCAGGGCTCATGTTTTTTATATTTTTTAAATTACCATTATTTTCACTGTAAAAAGAAATTACCTAAACTATCGACGTCTTGAAGCTTGTTTCCTGCCGCCCGATCAGTCTCCATCAGTCTTGCTTCGGCTTTGAAAGGGGAAAGCTGTGTCGCTTACAATCAGAATACACATTACGCAATAGGACGACGTAAAATTAAAATGGGAAATAACCGTAATATAATAAAAATAAGAAGCGACTGGGTTGGCGTAAAGAAAGAGGCATAAATATGATAAACCTAATGAAATAAGTATCTAACGACCTATCTACTTACAGTATTAGTGATTACAAACATGTCGGTACGTATCATACGACGCGCGGGGAAGTGGGGGCGAAATTAGAATTTGAGCTGACTTACTATATCCCCTTAATACGATATATTTATTTATGACAGACATTATATTGATAAGAACGATAATTTCGTTCCATGTACAATAATTTTACGGCCCTGGTAAGCTAGTCAGGCCGCTGCAAGTTGCTGCGCTGGTTGCAGGGCGCGCGGGCGTGTGTCGCCGCCGGGCGCACCGCCAGGCAGCGCGCCGTCGGAGGCGGACTACCACGTCATCAAGCTCATCTCCAACGGCGCCTACGGGGCCGTCTACCTGGTCAAGCACAAACTCACGCGTCAGAGGTGACATACTACTCTGTACCTCGCCGTATTTAAAAAAAAACGCAAACGCTACTCAATTTTAAGATGTCAAGTCTCGCGGTGTCAAAGTCACTTTGACTTAAAGTATTAGAGACAGCACAAGACTTAACGGCATCTTAAAATTAAGCAGTGTTGATTTATTTGGACATAAAAAACATTATTTCATTAAAAAAAAAAACAGATATGTCTTAAAAAACTACGTGTTCTTTTACCTGCCGTAAATAACAGTGACTTTTATTACCACCTATACAACATTCGTGTTGGTATGTCTATAGTTGTATATCTTTGTGCATTTATATAATGCAAAATATCTAATATAACTTAAAATATAAAATCGACCAAATTTCAAAGCACAATTAAATGTAGCAAATTCTAATTTTATTATGTAGTATCGAATCTAAAATTTGTGCAAAAACCCAAAGTGATGTTTGTTTTCACCTACGAACTAAAATTGGTTTCGAGTGGAGTTTCAAGTCCATGAACTGTTATCTTAGTTCATTGTAGTCGGCTAAAAATTCTATTATTTTCAGGTATGCGATGAAAAAGATAAGTAAAAACAATCTCATACTGAGGAACCAAGTGGAGCAGGCCTTCGCGGAAAGGGACATCCTCAGTTTTGCAGACAATCCTTTTGTGGTGAGTGAGTGTGAACCTAGTGTCTTTATGTAATGTTTTAAAGTTACCTTGGTTTCATTTTAGTGTAAAAAAAAATCGTCATAAGGGTTACCAGACCTCCTATTTTAAAAGACTAGACATTAGATATTGTAATGAACCCCCTAATTTGAAATCTTTAATAGAAGATAAGGCAATATCGCGCGTATTTGACGTTCTCTATGCTAGTTCGGGTCAAAGTTGAGTTGCGTATTAACATTGCTTTTTTATATTAATAAATGTCGTTTCCAATGCCATTACAGCATTTTATTGAGAACAATATAATATGCTCAATTTCTATCCTGTGCTTTATTTCCATCCCTCCATCCATCACAGCCTATAACAGTCCACTGCTGAACATAGGTCTCTTACATTGATTGCCTCACAAGGAGGATATTTGCCATAGTTGGCACGCTTTGTGAACGGTTTGGCAAACTCAGTTTTTTATTTTCTAGTTATTATCAGGAAGATGCTGCTTCTCATCTCCTGGTTTGCTTCCTCTGTGTTCTCTTACGATAGCCACCGGACGATATGGGCTAGTGGATATTCTTACATCACCACTAAACGTCGCCTTTACACTACAAAAAAACCGAACTTCTAGGTAGAAAAGGCTTCATTAGCTTGCCCTAGTCGATATATATTGAAATGTTATACATCTATCACGTAATAAACCAATAGTTTCGTGTGTAGGTGACAATGTATTGCTCGTTCGAGACGAAACGGCATCTGTGCCTGATCCTGGAGTTCGTGGAGGGCGGCGACTGCGCGACGCTGCTGCGCAACGGGCCGCTGCCGCCCGACATGGCGCGACACTACTTCGCGGAGGCCGTGCTCGCCGTCGAGTACCTGCACTCGTACGGCATCGTGCACCGTGATCTCAAGCCCGACAAGTTAGTGCATACACGCACACGTACATGCACACGTACATACACACGTACATACACACGCACACACAGAACGTGTTCGTCGTCGAGTACCTAAACTCGTACGGCATCGTGCACCGCGACCTTAAGCCCGACAAGTTAGTGCATACACGCACACATACATGCACACGTACATACACACGCACACACACGTGCTCGCCTTCGAGTACCTAAACTCGTACGGCATCGTGCACCGTGACCTTAAGCCCGACAAGTTAGTGCATACACGCACACGTACATACACACGCACACAGAACGTGCTCGCCGTCGAGTACCTAAACTCGTACGGCATCGTGCACCGCGACCTTAAGCTGGACAAGTCAGTGCATACACGCACACGAACATGCACACGTACATACACACGCACACAGACAGTGTTCGTCGTCGAGTACCTAAACTCGTACGGCATCGTGCACCGTGACCTCAAGCCCGACAAGTTAGTGCATACACGCACACGTACATGCACACGTACATACACACGCACACAGAATGTGCTCGCCGTCGAGTACCTAAACTCGTACGGCATCGTGCACCGCGACCTTAAGCTGGACAAGTCAGTGCATACACGCACACATACATGCATACGTACATACACACGCACACAGACAGTGTTCGTCGTCGAGTACCTAAACTCGTACGGCATCGTGCACCGCGATCTTAAGCCGGACTAGTCAGTGCATACACGTACTCCATACTTTACTTCACTTTTTTGCATATTCTTATTAATATATTTTGCTATGAGTATAATTTTGCAATATTTCCTGTTACAGCCTCCTTATAACCGCAACTGGACATATAAAGTTAACGGACTTTGGACTGAGCAAAATGGGACTTATGTCATGTAAGTAAAGTTGAAAATGATTAATCCTTTGAGGAGATTGTAGTTGATAACTGTACTCTAAAATAAAACATGAGAGCATTTGATTTACATTTTGACATGTAAAATTTATTTGTTCAACATATTTAGAAGTGGACTTGCAACAATAGCAAGACATGGAAATTGTTAGCCGTCCTTTATACTGCGCCCTTCCATTAATAGGGCTCGCTGTCCGATTAAACAGTCTTCGACGCTGTTGAAAGGGCTTGTAGTCTTGATTTGAGTGATTTTAATGCTACCCCATTCTAAGAATTTTCCCATAATGTGGACGTTTTTAACATAAACAACTCGAAGGCAGACTCACAGATCCGGAACAATTACTAGTAGACATACAAAATAATTACAATGTGCGGCATACGAAACTACGGTACGCAGCCCTGTCGCTAAACGATAGATTCAATCATCCATCCACTCTTTCTCTCTATTCATTCTTCCTTCAGATCTTAGACCTTCTGTAGGAAAAGAATTCCTCATAGAGAGGATATATGCCATAGCTGCCATGTGTGGCAGACGTGTAGGAAACCATTTACCAAATATTTTAATTTTTTATAATATTGAAGTGGCAAACGAACTTACAAACCACCTGATGGTTAGTGGCTTCAGCAACTTGAAATAAAGAAGACTATATATGCGTTTTCACCACCGACTGCTACGTTGGAACAAATGTTCGAATCAAAATTGAGACATCTTATGCGCAGTTGAGAGATTCGACCTTTATTCACATTGAGCTATTATGTACTACGTACTAGAGGCGACACTGCATTCAGCTACTCTGTTCCACTCAACTGCGGTGCATACACCGCACTTTAATCAGTCACTCCTAGGCGCTTGTAGAGTAGTCATGTGTTGTGTTGATTTAAAAAAAATCTCTTGATAAAAATATGCCGTCGTGTGTACTTAGATATTGCACAAATAATTCAAGAAATGTCAGTAAAAGCCAAGGAATTACTTTTCATCGGTTAATAAGATACTTAATCACCAATAAAAGTATTATAAATTAATAATAAAACAAATTATTCCTAAGACGCCACCTTGTGTCATGTAATATAGATTATGAAATTAATTTGTTCAGATGCGACATTTCTGTGGGTACTTAAGTATAGGACGAATATATTATTATACACATAATTTTTTTGTAGAAACATATATGAGTTATCATAATTAGGCCAATTTTTTATATTTAAATCTGCTCATTATTCTTTTATATTATTTTTAGGTTTTCATATCAAAGGCAAAGTGGAATAAATTCGTCCATTTTTAAATCTCGCGTGCCCAGCATATATGAACGACCCTTATTCTAATTGAAATAAATATATTTGTAATTTATATTTTATATTAATAAGTTATGTTAAACATACATTTAGTATGTTTTTTTATATTGGACATAGATACCGGGTGTCCCGTGTCAGATTTAGGATTTCTTGATTCAATTAAAGAAGGTTATTCTTTTAGAATTTACATATATTTGTCATAAAAACAAAGACGAGACATGCGGATTTTATTTTTTGAATATCACTCCGTCCAAATGTTTTCCATCGCCACGTACATACTCGCGGAATCTTTCGAGAGTATTCTGAGCGACGCGCTGCAATACTGACCGAGGAATAGCATTCACTTCTCGCACGATATTTTCTTTTAAATCCGATAGATCCGTCCGGTTGCTGTCGTACGTACTTTTACATTTAAGTAACCCCATAGAAAAAAATCTAATGGGGTGAGATCTGGCGATCTGAGTGGCTATGCGATGTCCCGAAATCGGCTAATCAATTTTCCGGGGAATTCTTCGCGAAGGAGACTCATGGTGGTTCTTGCTGTGTGCGGCGTGGCGCCATCTTGTTGAAACCACGTGTGAGAGCTGTTTGATGGATGTTCTCATAGTTTCGGAATAAAATTTTCGCTAAGCATGCGGCGGTAGACATCACCATCAACAGTTGCGGTTACTCCACGAGAATTCTCAAAGAAAAACGGTCCAATTATTCCATTGACAGAAAGAGCTGCCCAAACAGTTACTTTTGGGCAAGGATCTCCTAGGTGTGCGTTACTTGCAGTATACAGTGGCTGCAAATAACCGCCGGTACGACAAACTCCTCCGAACGTTTAGTCCCGTGATTCCGTGACGCGTCGAGGTCACCGGCCCCTAGGTGATTCTTGGCACTTTATGCGTTCCGTGCATTCTGTGCCTAGTCGCGCATTAAAGTGCCACCTTTGCACTTCCCCCAACCCTTTTGTTGTAAAAGGGGTAGGCAGTGCCCACAGTGTAGAAAGTCTCCTTATTAATATCACCACCACCCGCGTCGCGCATCAATATCTGCTGCCGATCGGTTGGAAGATAGATAGGGCCTTAGTTAGATTACCGCTGACGCTGACTGTTAGGTTAGGATGTCAGGGAACGATAAGGGGGAACCTCCTCCGAGATCGAGGAAACCACCGGGCCCGCCAGGCGTACTGGATAGACCCATCTCCTACCGCGATATTTTCAACCGGAGAGAGGATGAGAGTAGTCTCATCCTACTAACAAATACCTACCCGGAAACCTTCATCGCCGGGCAAGGAGGCCGCACCTAGGGTTGCACACTCTCCCGTCGTACCTGAGTGTACGACGGGGCGTGAACCGCTGCCCTCACAGCAACAGCGGCCCAAGAAGACGCCACGAAGGCATACGCCACCGGAGACCGAAGCCTCCCTCTACGAAAAGAGGCAGTGCATCGGCAACTCATCCGACTCGCCAACATCATCAGAAGATGAAGAGCCCCAAGCAACGACTAGGAAGAAGGTCCATACCTCACCTCCTAAGTCGCCATCACCGCCACCCATCTCACCGGACCGACGTAGTCACGACTCTATTCAATTCGAACAAGGAGGTGAGGAATCCTACAGCTGGGGCTAGACTACATATGCAACCCTAGCTGCATCAGCTGGAAAGTCATCCCCGGTACAAATTACCAACCCGTCCGGGTTAGCTCATGATGATGGGCAGCGGCCATCAACGAGCTATGCCCACATGGCAGCAGCCCCGGCAGTACCACGACCGCAATCGGCGGAGCAACCTCAGGAAACTGAAAAGGAAAAGGAAAAGGAGAAGAAATATCCGCCGATTGTCGCAGAATGCCTCCCGGACTGGACCAGGCATTTTAAGGTCCTTAATGAGAAGTTGGGCCATCCACCTAATGCCCGTCCGTTCGGGAAAGGAGTTAGGTTCACTCCACAGAGCCCGGATGAGTTCCGTACCATACAGAGGTACATGGTAGAACTCTCCGAAAAGGATAAAACAATGTCGTGGTATTGTTACACACCGGCAGAGGAGAAGCCCACCAAAGTGGGCATCCGTGGCCTGCCTGTGGGCACCGACGTAAAAATGATCGAGGAGGCTATTCGGGCAAAAGGCTTCCCCATCAATTATGTGAAGGCCATACCACCACGTAGGGGCAGACCGGGCTGCCTCTACTATGCACAGCTGGAGCATCTGAGCCTGGAACGGCTACAGCAATTTTACCAACTCGACGAGCTCCTCTATATGAGAGGAGTCGTCATCGAAGCCTGGCAGAGGAAGACCGGACCGGCACAATGCCACCGTTGCCAGGCTTTCGGATATGCCTCCGCTAATTGTTTCAGGCCAGTGAAATGCGTCCGCTGTGCCGGGGAACATATTGCCAGCCTTTGCCCAAGGGGTAGAGAGGAGGAGCCAAAGTGCGCTAATTGCGCCAAGAACCATACGGCCAACGATCGCCGCTGCCCGGTACTGAGGAGGATAGCCAGGAAGCAGGGGATCGTCTTACCTGGGCTACAGCCGGAGAACCCAAAGAGGATCCCCCAAAGTCGCCCAAAGGCCGTCACTATACAGGAGGATGGGTGGGCCACCATCACCAGAGGGAAGGGTAGGCAACCAAACCCCCCACCACCCCCCTCCCGTAGTACCATCAGAAACGGTTGGTCCCACTGAACAAAGGGCAACCACCGGGGCGACTCTCCGACCTCCTGCCAATGACGCCACTGAGAGGCAACCCTCCAGGAGGAAGAGGCGGAGGAACAGGAGTAAGAGAACGGAGCAGCCTCCTCCTCAGGCTGTGACCACCTCTACCCCTACGACTACAGGACTAATAGCCTCCCAGGCGCAGGTTTCTACAAGAGCACCAGCACCACCTACGGCAGGTAGAGCACCTGAAAGGGCCCTGCCAGAAAGCAGCAGAGCTCGCTCTACACACAGAGCGCGCTCAATGCAAAGGAAGACAACTATTAATGCCCCGAGACCAGTGCCTTCACAGCGTAGTTCAGATCGCAGACCACCAGCGTCCGGCTTCGAGACGGCTGATGCCATCCATAGATTGGTAGGCATAGCCATCGAAGTCGGTACACAAGTCCTGGCCGACATAAGGGCCGGGACTGATCCCGTTACCGCCCTAATGAAGGCGCTGGCATCCTTACTGGCAAGGCACTATGGAGGATAGCAACCTGCGCCTTCTATATTGGAACCCGGACGGGATCCGTCAAAGGATCCATGAACTCCGCACTCTCACCCAGCAACAGGACATCCAGGTGATCTTGCTGGGTGAAACTAAATTAAGACCATCAACGCATCTTAAGCTGCCCAATTACCACATATACAGGAGGGACGAGGTCGATCCTCAAGGGGTCGCTTACAGAGGGACAGCGATCCTGGTGAGGAGAGACATCGCCCACCAGGAGCTGGAACTGCCAGACTTCCAGACGATGCGTTCAATCGGCATAAAAATGGAGGCGGCGGGCGAGGAACTTAGGATCTTTGCAGCATACCGCCCGCCAGGGACTCCATTTCACTCCTCAGACATCCAGACGGTAATGGAAGGCACAACACCCACCATCATCGCCGGGGACCTGAACGCCAAACACCCGGCGTGGGGGTCCAGAGTGATCACCCCGCCGGGTCGTGAACTGTACGAAGACGCTGAACACCATGACTATGGCGTTCTAGGTCCCGAGGAACCGACGCACATTCCTAGCGACCATAGGAAGCGTCCGGATGTATTAGACATCGTGCTCACTAGGAACGTCAACTATCCAGTAGTGGTAGAAGTGCTGTATGACCTGAATACACAGCACCTCCCGATTCTGATAACCCTTGGCACTAAGGAAGTGACCTCACCGCCCAGAGCCAGTAAGACCAAGATCGACTGGAGGCTCTACCACCAACACCTGCAGGAGAGACCTCCAGTCCATACACCGATTACCTCAGCGGACGACGTAGAGGCCGCTGCAACCAGAATTTCCACGAGCATCAAGGAGGCCCTCAACGCGGCCTCTACGATCGTCCCTCTCTCGGGAAGGAAAGAGGAGCTGCCGCTAAAGATACGCGTGCAGCTAAATCATAAAAGAGCGCTGAGGAAGCTCTGGGCGCGTACTCGCTGCCCTATAGTAAAGAGAAAACTTAACACCTTGTCAGATGAACTGTCGGTTGCAATACAGGCCCACAGAGGAGAGGCCTGGGAGCGGCGCATATGGAAAGCTGATGAACAGCACGCGTCGCTCTACACATTGAACCGGCAGTTAACGAAAAACTCGACCACCTGTTTGCCCGCTGACCAACAACGCGGGCATTCAACGTTACGATGCCAAGGGCAGAGCGGATATCCTAGCTGAGCACTTCGAGGAGCAGTTTATGCCGAACCCTACAAGTGCGGAGTTCCTGGAATCCCATTCACGGAAGGAAAGCCGCGTGCAGGAGCTCCTGTCGTCGCCCGCGCCACCGCTTGCAGGAGAGTGGTTTATCTCCCCCGCCGAACTGCGGAGGACAGTAACGCGCCTGCAACCGAGGAAGGCGCCGGGGCACGACGGGATTACTAATGCTGCACTACGACAGCTGCCCAATAGAGTCCTTGTAGAGATAGGTCGGCTCTACAATGGAATATTGTGGACATCCCACTTCCCGGAGGACTGGAAGAAAGGCAAAGTCATCGTCTTGCCGAAACCCGGGAAGGACAGGCGTAGAGCTGCTAACTACAGGCCGATCACGCTGCTACCGCATATAGCTAAACTGTGCGAAAGATTACTGTTAAGACGTCTCCGCCCGTGCATCCAACTTCGGGCGGAGCAACATGGATTCAGGAGGGGTCACTCAACAGCAACACAGCTGACCAGAATGCTGCACCTGTTTGCGGCCGAACACAACCGTGGCCGCATATCGTTGGGCGTCTTTCTCGATATCGAGAAAGCGTTCGACCGGGTGTGGCACACAGGATTACTCTATAAATTAGATGTGCAAACAAGTATCCCTCCTGCTATATTGCGGCTAGTGGCGTCTTTCCTGGAAGGCAGGAAGTTCTACGTCTGCGTAGAGGACGCCGAGTCCGCAATTAAGACCATAACAGCTGGTGTGCCACAGGGCAGCTGTCTATCTCCAGCCCTGTACGCGGCGTACACTAATGACATACCCACCCTGGCAGGACACTTGCAAGAATGGGAGGACGACGTCGAACTAGCACTGTTTGCGGATGACAGTGCATACTTCACGTCGTCCAGAAGAGCCCACATAGCAGCTGCCAGGATGCAACGTCTGCTGGACCTGCTGCCACCATGGTTGGATGAGTGGAGGATGGCCGTCAATGTTAGCAAGACGACCGCACTACTCACTCGCCGCTATAGAAACCTACCACCACCGCTAACCCTCAGAGGCCAGGAGATCGCATATGAGAAGGCCGTGACCTACCTTGGATGTCGGATTGATAGGATGCTGCGTATGACTGCGCACGTTGACTCTGCTATACGCAAAGCTCGATGTGCGCGGGCAATGCTACGTCCTGTCCTGACATCCAAGTTACCGACAAAGTCGAAGATAACCATCTATAAAACTTATATAAGACCCCTGCTAACATACGCTGCTCCGGCCTGGTATGCACTCCTGAGCGATCATCAGAAGCGGCGACTTCAGGCCCAGCAGAATTTGTCATTAAGAACTATAGTCGGTGCGGGTCGCTACGTCCGTAATGACGTTATAGCGGCCAACCTCAAGATAGAGAGCCTTCATGAATTCGTGGTCCGGCTGGCGCGCGGTATGTTTGACCGCGCCGACAACGGGCCACATGAACACCTCAACGGCTTCGCGCCGTTGCATGCAAGGCCGCCGGATGGGCGACCTTATCCAAGAGAACTCCTCCCTATATAGATTAGGGAGTCTGAGTAAACCCCTCAATGCCGCAGAAAGGCCAACTTTGACAAATAATTGTGTTATTTAAACACAATTAATAGATAACCTCCCTCTCTTATAATTTAACCGACTGCGACAATAGTCGTCATAGCAACGCCCTTAACATCAAGGCGCCCAGGACCGGCACATTGTAGTGTGCCGTGAGGAACATCCGGGTAAAGGGGTACACCCCGAGGCCCGAGACCTGCACGGCATTTATGCCCTGCATCATCATCATTTTCATCATTACAGCCCTTCACAAGTCCACTGCTGAACATAGGCCTCCCCCAAGTACCCTTAGGCAACGAAAAGAACATAGGCCTTTATGCCCTGCATAGGACAAAAAATCGCGGGTTTTGTCCTCTTGGCGCCCAATAGCGGCAGTTTTGTTTGTTGACAAAACCATTCAAGTGAAAATGAGCTTCATCACTAAACCAAATTGTGTTAACAGCACGGAATCGGCTCAACATGTTATTATAGAACTCGTTGCGTTCTCTGTAGTCATTTGGTTTAAGTGCCTGTACCAAATGGATCTTGAAGGGGTGGAATTTAATGTCCAAACTTAAAATACGGTGCACCGTGGTTTTTGGAAGCCGCAAACTTGACGCTCTCTTGCGCCCGGACTGGCGGGGATTTTCTTGCACGCTGTTTGCAACGCGTTCAATGTTTTATGCTGTCCTCGACGTTCGGCTAGGACCTGGGCGTGGCTCGTTAACTGTTGAACCTGTTGCACGGAACTTCTGGACCCACGTCAAAATCAAACTTTCACTCGGTGCTTCACTTAAGCGACGAATGTTTTAGTGAGAACAAAATCTCCGGCGAGCAACAGTGCACGATTTGTTAGCTTCAAAATACGCTTCAACTGCGAAAGCGCGGTGCGCGCCAGTCCACTGCGACATCGTGACTGACCAATCCGCACAAATGCCGCGCCAAACTGTCACCCCTCCCCGGTCCCCCGGGCAACCGTTAAGTATACCGCAACCGCAAAAATATTCGAATTTCAAATCCTAAATCTGCCACTGGACAGCCTGTACCTTTTAAAATATTCAGATATAAATTTCAATAACATGTAATTGTGATATAATATTATGTAATATTATATTAAATAAGCAAATATAATATACAAAATAAATGACAAATTTTGAAAATTGTTCTCAATATAATTTACCTATTTAACAATACAATCTGTTATTACCTCCTGATCATTCTACCTATGTTTATTCTATGATAAAAAAACCAACCGCGCGAACATGGAGTAGCGCACATGTTTTGTTTGAAATAGCTGTTCTAGTACGCAAGTACATATTACTTCAACGTTTATTCAAAACTTTTTTTATAGCATTGGGTGCCAAACGAGCACACAGTCAACCTGATGGTAAGTGGATGCTGTGCCCATATACATCCACATTTATCCTCAATTAAGGATCAAAATGCGAATGCGTTATTACCCCTGAGGACTAAGATGTAATGCCTCGATTCCTGTAAAAGGGTCTCCGATTCTCTACACTCACCATACGAAACACAACAGCATTACGCTGCTATTTTACATTGGTATTCAACTTACATGTGGTACAGCTATACTGCAGCTATATTAAAGTTGTAGCCCATTAGCGTTCGGTGGTTGGTCACGGCTCTTACAAAATACATGTACTGCTGTGGTTCGTAGGCTGAGTGTAGAGAACCGGAAACCCATTTCAATGGGAAGAGTCAGTCCACTGTAGTCCTCGGAGATGACAACGCATCTGTATTTTGATTCCTACTCGACGATAGATGTAGATGTCTAAGGGCTACAGCATCCACTTACCTTAAAGACCGATTTACACTTCGACAAGTACAGTAGCGAGTTTAGTTACAGGACAGTTGACAGTAAACGGTTAAGTCTTCGTGTCTTCTCTGGCGAGTCTTCGTGGCGTGTTTAGTTAAGAAGATTAGTTCATAGAGTTCGTTGGAGTATGACGTTTCAAGACAACAGAATTTTTCTGGTTTTCGTTTAAGATGGTTCTAGGATAACGTCAAGAATTAAATGATTCGGTCAGAGGACTATTAATGGTTGTTGTTAAAAAAGTTTTTAAGAATTTTCATGAGTGCAGCATTTCGAGCAGGTTTAATTTTACAATTTGAACTTCTACTATTGTATAAACATTCGTACTCTTGTACAAATTTATACGTGATATCTTCCGTCCATTTTATTATTAAAACTCAATATAAAACGTATAAATATTCAATAAACAGTGTCGTACAAACTTTGTGGCGAGTTTAATTATAAAAGTACAATTGTACGTTTTGGCGCGCAAACGTTGCGTCCTGTCAACGTATGCACTGAACTAAACTCACTCGTTTACACAAACGGCGAGTTTAGTTGCGGGTGGCGGGAGACGCGCGGGAGGGCAGCACTTCGCACTTAACTCGCCGAAAAATAGCTCGGCCAGCTATCCCGTTCAACTTAATCGTTAACTTGCTACTTAACTCGCTTATTGTCGTTCAAACTTAACTCGCCAGCTTTGCAAGTTAACTCGTTACTGTACTTGTCGAAGTGTAAATAGGTTTTTAAGTGGACTGTGTGCTCGTTTGTCACCTTTATTCTATAAAAATATGAAATCTTATGCATTTTGTCCAGTGGCAACAAATCTGTACGAGGAGTACGCGGATCGTGAAGCGCGTCAGTTTTCCGACAAACAGGTGTGCGGCACGCCTGAGTACATCGCGCCCGAGGTCATTTTGCGACAGGTTGGCACATATTTTTCTTATCATTAAATATATGATATTGACATTTATTTGTATGATAAAAGAGTGTTTTTTGAGACCAAATTACTTTTGTCAATTGTTCTTGTAATCTAAAATACGATTGTTGCCGATATTTGTAAATGCTCAATATTTAATCTAAAGAACATTTTAACTAATAAGGTCGTGAAATACTGTGCAAGAGATGTACAGTTCGTAGTACGTTAGTAGATTACATAGACCAGTTCACAAAAATGTGTACAATAAATAATAGTAATTGCCAGTATGATTCTAAAATTTAACGAAGTGATGGTTTTAGTATATTCAGGTTATATTGATTAATTTTAACTATAGCACAAGTCTCACCACAAACCAGTGATTAATTATAGATTTGCAATGCCTTCTTTAGTCGTTTTGTTCATATTTACCTACTATGTTATGTTGTTAATGCATTAGCTTGAGCCGTTTAGTGGCGGCGAAAGAGACTTCACTATCCTATATCGTTTCGTGGGTCTCCTAAGAGTCGACAGAAGAAAATTCGAACAGGAAATGGGCAGCTGCTCCTTCCTCAACCTCCTACCAACTCAATTAAAACCGTTGTTGCCAACACTATAGAATACTATAATACACAATAGAATGGCTGTCAACCTTATTTTGTACGAGGGTCGGCGTCGCCGGGAGCACACATATAAGCAATTACGTCGTATTATCACTACTAAAAACCCGATTCGCTGTGTTGAGAGACTGAGAAAATTTAAATATTTTAGACTTTTGATTTAATGTTCAAGATCATCAGTAAAAAATCGTTTAAATTTTAATACATATTTATTTGTAAATAGTGTGGAATTTGGCATTTTCTAAATAATTTGCATGCGATTGTAACGCAAATCACATCTCGTGTTGACCGTTATACGTGTGAATTGACGTGTTTGTGACATTTTAGTGGTTACTCGCCCGCCCACTCCCCCGTTCTATTATGTATGTATTATAGTATTCTATGGCCAACACAGTTATAACAATATCCGTTGTTGCCAACACGGTTATAACAGTACCCTCCCTATGAGGCTTTTATGGGGGAGGCCTAATAATAATATCGTTTATTCCCTTAAAATTGAAGGTGACAAATAGTTGCATGTTGTATATAGTCCACATGTTTACACATTTGGCACGCGAAAATTATTTTGTTCCTAAAATTTCCGATTAAAATTTCAGAAACTTATTATATCCTGGGTATGTTCCGAAATACAACGCAGTGTACTGTCCAATGCAAATGACGTCATGAATCGACGCTATACTGGTGATTCGTTCCAAAACATTGGACAGTATATGACGTCATACTTTTGCGCCATTTGGAAAAGTGTTGGCGATTATTTTGTCATTTTGTGCTCCAAAAATCATTATATCCTCCTAATGGATATACCATCAATTATTCTATAATTTTTTGTATTTGAATAAATAGAAACAAATTCTGGCATGCTTCATTCGGCAAACACACAATTAAAAATTGTTTTATTATGGCCGGATATCAGACACAATATGGCGGCGGCACGCTAGTACAATAGTGTCAAATGATACGTCATTTGCATTGGACAGTACACTGCGTTGTATTTCGGAACATACCCCCTATGTTTAGTGATGCGACGGAAGTGTCATATCGGAAGCAGAAACGGAAACAGATGTTAAAAATATTTTTTTGCAGAAACGGAAACAGAAACGGATGCGGAAACGGAAATACTACTTATTAAAAAATTACAAATAAAACCTTTAATTAACATTCAAAATTAAGTAGCGGCATGTTATATTTCATGAAAAGTAGTTCGGCTACTTTTACACCTAACAATCTGTTCCAGTGTCCTTCATATATAAGTCCAGCTCCGCTAAATAATTGCTCACTGGCGATGCTGCGTATGTACACCAAAGCTAAATCAGCACCAAAATATGGGCAGACCCTTTAAACAGCCGCATTTACGTTAAGCGAGTAGGTAACTTAGTACAACCCTAGCACGAAATTACGACGTAAACGAACTTTGAATCCAAAATACTCATTAAAGTGTCTTTAAAATAATTAATATAAACTAAAAGTAAAAAATAAATAATATAAACTTCACGTAAAAATAATATAAACTATACGTTAACATAACTGCTGCCTAATTAATTTTACAAATCTTTGTTGTAATAAAGGCATTTAGTAAAAACTAGTTTTTACTGGAAAAAACACGTTTTAACTAAAAACGGGGTTTAACTATAACATGGGAAACGCCAAGTCGAGCAAAATGCGGCACGGCCGTACTATACTTTTCTCGAAGAAATTCAGGCAATTTTTGACCCCCTATAACTTCGTAGTAGATAAAACTAGAATCCTGAATTTTCAGTAACCTAGTAGGAATGGTATAAACATGGTATATTTCAAATTTCACTCAATTTGAACCAGTAATTTAAGAATTATAACTAATCAAAGTTTCTTAATTTTGTCACTCACTGACTGACTGATCATCAAAACTCTAAGGCACTTCTAGCAGACATAGAAGCTTCAAATTTAAAATACAATTAATGTTTAGTGTATAAATTAAGGGAAAACTAAAATATTTTTATTTCGGTCCAGTTTTCTAGATACACCAACTGCATAAATAACTTTGTAATACCGTATAAATATATAGATTTACAAAGTTACATTTGCAGTGAATGAATCAGTGTACTTGTATATGTATAATAGGTGTAGATAGGTACGTTGTTGGTATTCCAAAAGTAGAAGGTACCGGAAAGGAACAAAGTAGGACTATCTTATCTACAAAAAGAAATGAGATGCCGATACACAATGTATCTCACAAATAATACATATTATATTAAATTAGGTTGCTTAGTGCGATTGCCAAGTCAATCTATATATTTAAGGCATAAAAGATTTTTAACATTAAATTGTAACTATAATATGTTGTTAGGTTAGCTAATTACGTAATAACTTAAAACGAACCCTTAAGTAGGGACTGAATAAATTAACCGACTTGGTATTACATGGATCTCACAACTTTTTACGGTAGAACTAAGTTGCGAGACTTGGTTTTTTTACAAGATATGTTTTTGATGGCATACATTTTATAATATACAATACTCGTAGGTATGCAATTGACCAATTGAAAAACCTTGACTGGCCATTTGTTTTTTAGTTTGCGATGAAAGTTTTACAGTTTCAACTAACTTTTTCAACAAACTGGAAACTCTTCGGTGTGTATCGTTTTAAGATGGCTCTTTAAAGCGGTAGTTGTGCGTTCTTTTCGCGAGTATATTTTATCACATAATTTACATTTGGCTGCTAAATCATCAATCTCAACATAATAGTTCCAAACATAACTCTTTCTTTTTTAGCTTCATGATTGCATTTTAACACACACGACTCAAATTACTAATTAACTAAAAAAACTATAACCGAAAATCTTACGCACTTACACTCATGTCACTCCCTATAATAAAGTTAAAACAGTATCTAAACAAACCCGTTGGTACCAGTGCCGAAAGCACGTGCCCAGCTCACTTATGATTGGCTGAAATAATCCCCCCCTCCTCCGCCCCTCCTCTACTAATGTGGCTGCTGTGTCACTGAGTTTCGTTCAAACTTCCGTCATAAAACTTGCGGAAACGGAAGCAGAAACGGATGTCAAAAACCATGCAGAACTTCCGCAGTTGCGGAAACAGAAACGGAGTTCTGTTGCATCACTACCTATATTCAGCAGTAGACTTTTGAAAAGCTAATGAGTGAATGGCTAATGAAATACATTATCCCAGTTAATTTCCTGTATTTGTTTATAATTAGATAACTAGATTGTTGTTCTACCTCGCTTCAACTCGTATAAATTTACAATAGCGGTGAATAGATATGTAGTAGCAACACAAACCAAACCAAATTGTATTTGAGATTTTCTTAGCATTTTCCTTGCCTCAGGGCCGATTTACATTTCGACAATTTAGTATCGTGTAACCCCCACGAAAATATAATATATTAGTTCTAAGGTAGATTAAGTGAGCAGTATGATTAAAGTTACGTTAAGTACCAACAAGTCTCCTTCATTGACACCTTTCTTACATTATAGCCGATTACACACAAGTAAGAGTAAACTTCGACAAGTACAGTAGCGAGTTTAGTTACAGGGCAGTTGACAGTTAAAAAAAGTAGTTTAGTTAAAAAAGTACAATTTTATATTTTGAGGGCCGAACGCGAACCCGTTGCTTGGAGATTTTGTACTTAACTCGCCAGGTTCGCTAATTAACTCGCTACTGTACTTGTCGAAGTATAAATCGGGCTTTAAGGTTTTTATGGATTCTCTTACATCACCACAATACGGCACGGCAGTTATATTTCAAAGCATGTAATGAATGTGATTTACATTCATTACATGCTTTCACATAGAAATATAAAATGTAAATACGCTAAACTATTTATCATAACTGGTGAATTCAATTTTATTTAGTTTGTACACCTATCACTTCCCGATTCATTAATTTTATGCAATAAAATAATTAAAAAGAGCGTGTAATAAAAGTCTGTTTTATAAAAAAAAATCGTTGTCCGCAGGGCTACGGCAAGCCGGTCGACTGGTGGTCCATGGGAATCATCCTGTACGAGTTTCTCGTTGGTTGTGTTCCCTTTTTCGGTGACACTCCTGAGGAGCTTTTTGCGCATACTGTAAATGGTACGGCAATCTAGTTTTTAATAATAACAATCATTTATTTTCACTACATTATATTGACTATCTTACTATAGAACTGTGTCAACTCATTGTTTACACTTGCGCGATGGCTATAGGTATAGTACAATTGACTTACACTAGGTGGCGCATGCATCGTACCGACAAGTTTATTTAAAAATCCATCATTATTATTCCTAATTAAACAATATAACTCGTACAAATACCCACAATCTTGTATCTAATAAATATAATATTAATCTATGTAAATATAATGAAACTTTTACTTTTACTCCTGTAGACGAAGACGAGGTACGCAAAGCACTTTCCTCTATTAAATCGAAAGCCGTTGGATGTGATGACGTGAGTAGGGTAATGGTTTTGCACGTGCTGGATTCTGTTTTACCCGTGATAACTCATATAATTAACTTTTCGCTGATGAATGGTGCTTTTCCAATTCTCTGGCGTAAAGCCTTTATTATTCCCATCCCAAAAGCTACTGAATGCAGCTCTTTATCTAATTTCAGACCAATTTCTATTCTGCCTTTTCTTTCTAAGGTTCTGGAAGCTGTCGCTCATAAACAGATTTCTGCTTTTGTTTTCTCAATGAATATTCTTTCCCCTTATCAGTCTGGTTTCCGCCCGGGTCATTCTACTACTACTGCTCTTCTCAAGGTTACGGAAGATATTCGTGAGGGGATGGAAAAATCAAAACTCACCGTTCTCATCTTAATTGATTTTTCTAATGCATTTAATTCTGTCGATTATGGTATCCTGTTAGCTCTTCTTTCTCATTTGAATATCTCGTCTTCAGCTCAGGAATGGTTCTCAACATATCTTCGGGGGCGCCAACAGGCTGTGCGTACTGGTCATATACTATCTGACTGGTGTGATGTGTCAGTTGGCGTCCCTCAAGGCGGTATTATCTCTCCTCTTCTGTTTTCCATTTTTATAAATCTCATCACACTAAATCTCAAGAGCTCTTACCATTTGTATGCTGATGATCTGCAGTTATACGCGCAAGTGGAGCCTTCAAATATCCTAAGTGCTATTTCACTGTTAAATGATGATTTAAAATATATCTCAGAATGGTCTACTGTGTATGGCATAAACGTGAACCCGTCTAAATGCCAATCGATAATCTTAGGTAGCTCAAGATTATTATCTAAACTGGATATTGCCACCCTACCATCAATTATGTTTAATAATAATGTCATACCATTCTCTACTAGCGTAAAGAACCTTGGTCTGTACATCGATGGTTGCTTAACATGGAACAAACATATACAGGAGGTGAGTCGCAAAACTACTGGAACTTTGCGATCTCTATATCGATTTAAAAACTTTCTTCCCACCAATACCAAGATTTTACTTGTCCAATCACTTATTGTACCGATTATTGATTATGTCGATGTGTGTTGCTCAGACCTGTCTCAACTTCATCTTAATACATTGGATCGTCTGCTAAACAACTGCATCAGATACATTTATGGTCTTCGTAAATACGACCATGTATCTTCCTTTCGTACACAGTTAAACTGGTTGCCTATCCGTCAGCGCAGATATGTTAGAATACTCTGCACCCTTTTCTCAATTTTGAACGATCCATGTGCTCCCGAGTATCTGAAATCTAAATTTCAATACATGGGAGATTCTCATAATTTTTCTCTCCGTTCCTCGGCCAATCTTAAGTTACTCACTCCTTTACACCGTACTGGTTATTTATCTCACTCTTTCGCCCTCGTGGCCATCAGACTCTGGAACGACATCCCTCTTGACATTAAAAAAGCTCCCAACAAATTCGTCTTTAAAAATCAAGTCCGTAAGTATATGATTAAATCGTTGCAAGTTTGAATTGACTAAGCGCTCTTTTTCGTATATATTTCATATTTGTTCTGACATATATAATATTTATACGAACCTATTGTGTATGTATATATATATATAGATATATATTTATGTATTTATGTGTATACAGTGTATGTATGTATGTATGTAAGTATATATATTCTATTATATATATTATATGTATATATATATATATGTATGTATATAATATCTATGTATTGCTTATTACATATATTATTATTTCTTTTATCCTCTCTATTTGATTATTGCTGCACCGCCTCCATAATGTCTATCTCTGTTTAGCCTAATGGTTGACTGGGAGAGAATGCCCTATGGCATTAAGTCCGCCATATGTACTTTTTTTGTGCATGAAAGTATAAATAAATAAATAAAAATATAATGTTATTTTGTTTGTAGAGAAGTATAATTCCTGTGATATTTAAATGACCGGTGTCAATATCTTGAAACCAGTAATAAAATTTCAAGTAAATTAGTAAAGCACTTAAATAAGTTGAAGTTCATATCAAGTTTTTTTTTTTGTTTTATTAAGGACAACAAACAGTTGTATAATAAAAATTAAAATTCAAATCCTATGTAAATAGATAAACTAATTACACAACCAACACCGTTATCCACAATTTTATCAAATTACTGTACTAATTAAAGTCATAAGGCACAGAGAACACAAATATAAAATATAATAACTAAAAAAGAACTAAAAACTAGAGACAACAATGCATACTTAGCCGTTATCAGCAAAATCGTGAATATGAAAATAAAACAATTTAGATTAACGTTATAAAATTATAAGAAAATAGTAATAAAGATAAAAATAAAAAAGTTTTATATATAAGTAAGGCCACGTCGGAGCTCTATATTGGCGTGATATTTGTGTAAAGGAGCCTCTTACTGTTTTTTTTAATAGTATAAGGGTAACAAACGAGCACACAGTCCACGTGATGGTAAGTGGTTGCTGTGGCCCATAGACATACGTCTATCTTCGATTACGAATTAAAATGCAGATGCGTTGTTACCCGTGAGGACTAAGATGGAATGCTTTCTGAACGGAAACCTTTCCAGCAAAAAGGCTTTCCGGTTCTGTAGAGAAGACTCACTATACGAAACACGTGCAGAACAGCGTGATTCTTCCCCGGTTGAACCGACCCATTCGTGCTTCAGCTATACTACTAATAAAGCTGCAGCATGGTTGCAAAGCACAAACATGGCACAAACTACGCACTGGTAATGAAGTATTTTATTTTAGTCTTTAGGGGTAACAAAGCATCTGTCTATTGATTTTTAATCGATGTCATACCATTAACTTTCACCCAAAGAGTTAGACAGAAAGTAGAGAGATCCATTTGGCAAGATCGTGGCAATCCTTTTTTCCTTCTTTCATATCCAGTGCTTTTTCTTTGACCCATCTTTAATGTATTAAATTTGGTTGATAAACTACCATTGAGGGAGTCATTTGCCGACTGTGCCACTTACTTCTGCAACATATATTTGCTTTGTCACTCTTTCCTTATTCTTTTTACCCTTGTATGAAAATAGTTATCAACATAGCCTTTTTTTAAGTTGTGAACGCCGCAATGAACTAAATTTTGCAGATAATATTTAAAAAAAAACCCACGTTCCGCTAACAAATATAAAACCTCATTCTATAAAAGTCACGGCAGTAATGACTCTTATATTGTAATAATTAAAATAATATTTAACCGTTTCACTGTTCCACTGTCTCATGAGTATGTATGAACATTTATATTGTCTAACTATTGTCTTTTTCGCGGATAGTGAAGTTGTTGCACTTCTGTTGAATCGAATGCTTAATTAATAATGTTCTATAGACGACATTGAGTGGCCGTCAGAAGAGGACTTTCCGATAGCTGTGGAGGCAAGGGCTATCATCACTGAGCTACTAGCCAGGAACCCCAGAGACCGCCTAGGTACTGGAGGCACACATCAAGTTAAGGTAAACAGTGTTTCGTATATATGTGGCCGTAGAAGGAAAAGGGGAGATCTCCCGCCGGGCAAGGTGTTCTGCCCGGGGAGCGGCCAACGCTCCATGTCATAGTTCGGAGCTATTCTATATGTACTGTTTATGATTCGGAATTTCGATGATTTAGGCTTCGGTGTGTTTCGCTTGTGGCGCGACGACAGCGCCGCCACATCACTCCCCTGCTCAGACGGAGGTCGACAGTGCAGTACGATTGCCGGTGCGTCCTTAACGCAGGTGGGGAATGCATGCTGTGTGCGTAAGGGCAAGTGACACCGGAGCGAATGATATGCCGACGTGTAATGCATGCCGCTCTACGCACTGGCAAGTGATGCCGGTGAGAACGATGTGCCGGAGCAAGTGCCAGAAGTCTGCCTAATAAATCTGCGGTTAGCCGAAACGAAGACAAGTTGGACTGGCTTATAGGAACTGAATACTGCAGAAGACGATTCTCAGTAGTGAATGGTAGGGGTTCTTGAGGATAATGACGAAGGCTTGAAATTGTAGTTCCCGAAGATTGTTGGTTGCGTGTTCACATCACGTCGGGTGGTCACTACTGTGGCCGTAGAAGGAAAAGGGGAGATCTCCCGCCGGGCAAGGTGTTCTGCCCGGGGAGCGGCCAACGCTCCGTGTGGTAGTTCGGAGCTGTTCTATATATACTGATTTTATTATTCGGAATTTTGATAGCGTGATTTAGGCTTCGGTGTGTTTCGCTAGTGGCTCGACGACAGCGCCGACACATATACATTTATATTTTTATTTGGAAGTATGTTATGGGCTTTGTGATATGAAGTGGCAGCGTAAGGGAATCCAACACCCCATTTCTTACCGTAGGTGTCGTAAAAGACATCTATGGAGAATGCCAGAAATATATCATGGCTTCCGATAGATGGCGGTACCTCCAGAAAAAATCGGAGCCGTAAAATACTAAGACCGGCAATAAAGCTCAGCGTTAAATGTGCGCGACTTTCTGGTACTGCGATTACCAATTCGCCTGCCTGGTTAAGACATATCCTTTATATAACGATAAAGGTTTTTATTGAACAGTGGACCTTTGTGGACCAATAAAGAAATAAGGAAAGAAATGCGAGGTTAAACGAAAAATATTTTTAATCATGTTTCCTTCCCGTGTAGGTGCAGCAACACAGCTAGTTTAACGTATCTGTTTCCTCTAATTCCCCTCTAATCCTCTAATTTTAAGGTAATATTTATTTTTGTCCTTTAGGAGCATATTTACTTCTACGGTTTGGATTGGAACAATTTGTTAAGGCGGAAAGCCGAATTCATACCGCAGCTGGAAAACGACGAGGACACCAGTTACTTCGACAGTACGTACAATTATTATAGTTATAACATATTTATCTGCCATTTTGTTAAAGTGAAAACTTTTTTAGAATCGTTGTGTTTTGAAACTCGATGAAACGAAAAAGCGATTTAACCTGCGAGAGAATGAGATAGAATACAGTAAAGTGTAAATTATTAATGATGAAATAAATAATTAATATTTAATTAGCATCTTTGCTAACGATTCAAAAATACAAGCAACAGATGCTATTTTACATCACAAAGTGTACTTTCAACGATTATTAATGATAATAGAAAACTATAAAATTAATTGGAATGACTTACTACTAATGAAGATGAAGCTGCAGTCATCAGCATATTTGACAGCATACAGGCAACTGAACAGACATATCTCCAAATGCATGCGGCGAGACTTACGCAACTTTAATACAGCTCGTATTGAAGAAGCGATTGAGCAGAACCAGGGCTCCAAAATCTTTACCAGAGATCTGTCTGCCAGAAAGAGTCAACTGTCGAAACTGAAGACCGAATGTGACAGCATCCGGGACACCGGAGATTCTGAGTGAGATTGAGAGGTTCTATGGGCAGCTCTACATGTTATCGTTGGAGCCACACGCAAGTGTGAGTAACGATGCAAGAGCAATTGTATGTGGTAGAGCCATGCTGCAGTTATATTAGTAGTATAGTTGTAGCACGAATGGGTCGGCTCGACCGGGGAAGGACCACGCTCTCACAGAATACCAGCGTGAAATAGTAGCTAATGCTGCTGTATTTCGTATGGTGAGTGTAGAGAACCGGCGACCCATTTTACTGGAAACGAGGCATTCCATCTTAGTCCTCACGGGTGACAACGCATCTGCATTTTGATTCGTAATCGAGGATAGATGTAGATGTCTATGGACCACAGCAACCACTTACCATCAGCAGCAGTGGACTGTGTGCTCGTTTGTCACCCTATCCTATAAAAAAAAAACAGCAAGTATTATCCGACACTATTCCGATGATCATAGTCATACACACACACACGCACATATATATATATATATATATATATACACCGACAAAGATACACAAACACACACGCAGACATACGGACATTATCGCAAAAATAGTCAGAATAGCTTCCTAGGACCTCGAGACGTCGAGATCTGATGATAACTCGATTTTGAAAAACCGGGCTGAAAACAGTAAACAGTCCCCATTTTTTGAAAATCATTGTTTTTAATAGTGGGAAGTTAAAAAAGTTAAAAATGTGTAAAAATTAATTTCTTAAATTCTTGACACTGGCCAAAAGAACAACAGTACATCAACAAAGAAAAAAAAGTTAAGGGTTGTGATGGTTTGCGGCAGGCCGGTGCGACCGCTACAACCACAGCGAAGCCGACACGGACGAGGCGGCCGAGGCGGGCGAGGCGGGCGACGAGGCGCTGTTCGCCGCGTTCTCCTCCACGTCGCCGCAGTGGCGCCGCCACTACTCGCACTCGCACTCCGCCGTCGAACACGACTCCAGGGTATTTCATCAACAGTAACAACGTTCTCCAGCTGACGTCATTCACCAATCGAAACACAGCAGTACTATGGTGCTATTTTACGTATGTGTTCTGTGAGTGAATGGCTCAGCTCGACCGAGCATGTTCTCGCAGAATTCCAGCGTGAGGCAGCAGACGAAGAGAACCGGAGACCCTTTTTGTGGTTACGAGGCATTTCATCTTAACTTTCAGGGGTAACAACGAATCTGTATTTGGATTCTTAATCAAAGATAGATATCTATAGGCCACAGGGTGAACTAAGTGCTCACTTGTTACCTATAAAATAATTTTTCAACACTGCTATGCGAGTACGATAAGACTCTCCAAGATGACATTTGAATCACATTGCGCAATAACTTCAATTATGATATATACATTTGAAAAATTACATTAAATTGTACGCAATAAATATTTATTTTTATTAAAATTGTTATTTATTATATGTTGTGATATTATTATGTTGTATTTTCCTTAAATAAACGGCGTTTCGTTACGAATACATCAATTAAGTTGGTACTCATTGCCTCCTCTTATTTTTATGAAAGTTAGGACAAGGAAAAGTCCGCTGCACTTACTAATGCGTGTTGACCACATTCACATGTCCCCAAAATGTTTTTTAACTTTTCAGGCATGCACGTTTCCATGCGAGGTTATCCTTTCTGTCTAGCACCGATGTGCTTATTATTATTTACCACTAAATAGGTATTGAAACTAAAATTTCATTGTTGCCGGTGGGGATCAATCTCTGTTTGCTGGTAATATAGCGAGGTGTTAATAAAAAAACCGATTAGGGAGTGAAATTGGCAATTAACCCTTCAATCTCTTAGCGGTCAAATTCGACCGCGACGCTATTCCGTCAAAATTCAAGCGGTCGGATTCGACCACGACACACACCCACAGCACTTGAAACCATTAAAACTTATATTTAGATTTTACTTTTCTGTGAAGAAGTTTGGCATTATAGAATCAATATATTTTCTATCCTCTAGTGCAATAAAAAACAGTTATCCTATGGATATTTATTTATAATCTACGTTCATTACGTACGCCATTTTCGCGTGAATGAGATTGTGTTGATTTTTGTATTTTTCTAGTGTTTTATTAGTGTTTCAGTATAGTGTTTTATTATGAAATTGTAATGAAATTTTTTGTGTGAATATAATTTATCTTTTTACGTAAATAATTTCGAGTAATATATATTGAAATAATTGTGATTTTCAGGCTGCCGACATTCGCATAGTATGTTTTTTTCTTGTTATCAAAATACAATAGTCTTTTTGTAATGAAGTAAAACCAGACTTTTATAAAGAGAATTTTGTATAGATTTTATAATGTCAAACTTCTTCATAGAAGAGTAGTCTCTAAATATAAGTTTTAATGGTTTTCAGTGCTGCGGGTGGGTGCGGTCGCATGCGACCGTTCGGGGTTTCCCGGGCGCATGGGACTACATGGGATTTTTATGGGGATTGAAGGGTTAAATTTACCTGTATTCTTGTGATGCGCGTATAGTAATGTATAAAGAAATGTTTAAAACTAAGTAAAATCGTTTTGACAGAGTACGGACAGCTGGCCGGGCACTCCAGACAGCGCGGGCCCCCCCACCACGCCCACAGCGCCGCCGCACCACCACCCGAAGTGCCCCGTGAGTACTGCACTCCAACACTTATAGGTTGTCAACGTCGTGCAGTCCGCGCCCGCGGGGTTACAGGGGTTGGCAAGGACGAGGTAAAACGGTCTGAAAGGGGAAGCGAGCGGTATGCGGGAGGGCGAGCGAGCACGCCGCGTGCTCCCGAGCGCCAGTCGCCGGTGGTCGCTTGCAACGGTTACTTGGGTATACTAGACGCACACGAGATTACAATCCGAAGATGAGCAAACCGATTGGACGACAATCAAAAGAAATTGTGTATAACGTATACATGTATTTTAAAATATACTTAAGTATATTAAAAGCTTCCTCATGAATCACTCCGTCTATTGGGGAAAACCGCGTGAAAATCCGTTTAGTAGTTTTTGAGTTTATCATACAGACAGACGCGGCGGTGGGTATTTTTTTATAATATAAAGTGATTTAATCTTATATCGAATTCATCACTACATCACACAATACTTCGTAATAAATCTAAATATATCCATATTAATCTCAAAATAACTCGATCCTAAATCCCTACGTAGTAGTATAGTATAGTACGTACGTAGACGTGGGCATGGCCTCGTGCACGAGCTGCGTGCTATCTCGTCCCTGTCCACCCTGTACCCCGTGGGCGCGGACTGCACGACATTGACGGCCTATAATTGTTTAGTTATACTCAAGTCGAAGCGATTTTAGTTCTTCAAAATTCTTTTTGTAATATTTAGTAATGATTTGGCATTTAGTCAAATTCTTTCTAAAAGAAGTGGAAATTGCTAAAAAAATCGACATTTTAAATGTTGCCAATCTTGTATAAGGTAACCAGATGAAAAATTGAAAATTCCTGACAAATAACCTAATTGCCATAGAAAAGTCCATTTTGTTGCAAACGTAATTGACAACCGTGGAAAAAAATAAATCAACTATCAGTTTTTCTCACTCGTGGGATTAAAAACGTCCCAGATTTAATCCCTCCCACGCCAAAACTTAGATGCGTGTTTTTGATATACCAAAAAGAAAACCCTGACATTTGTGAAGAATCGAATGCAATGGATAGGAAGTTGGAAACCAGAAGTCCTGATATGTGAAGACAAATCTTAACGTGTGATGTTTTTAGAATTGTGACAAATAGCTACTAGCAACAAGTAAATTAAGTTAAAAATAAAATTAAATAATAATCAAATGTCAACACGATTAAAAAAAATCAGACGCAATGTCTATGTTGACATGGGGGTACCTTTTTAATATATAATAAGCTTCTTTTTCTTTGCTTTGTCCTTTAATTGGGACTCAGCTCTCCTTGTTTAGTTTGATTTGGGCTACCTTTTTAATAAGCATTTACCAAATTATAAATGTGCTATTGTTGTAATCAAATAATTGTACTAATGTGTCATTAAATAAACTTTCTTTCATTATTAAATCAAAGGTGAGAATTTTTTTGTACTACGTTCGTACATTTGCCGTGAGTTGGAAGTATAATATTTATACTATGTGGTATCCAAGGGAACATCCATATTTATTCGTTCACGTAGGCTCTAATAATTGCAACGATGTTATTTAATTTATTTTGTTTATTTTATTTTATTCAGGAGAACAAACAATTGGATAATACGGCTTAAACTAAATAACAATTTATAAATAACATGAATAATTATGTAACCAGCACCGTTATCCACAAAGAAATAGTAAACAGAGTTAAAGTAAAAAAAAAAGTTGACATTATGCAGCAACATGAAGATGTCACAATGAGACAAAACGAAAAAAAATTGCTAACACCCATTATGTATTATTTTTAATATTATTAAATATCTAACAACCTTCTTGGAACATTTCTGCGAAATTGAAAATGTGATATTAATATTTGAAAAGTAAGGACGACGGTAAAATCTGCAGATGGTGGGCGGTGGTTCGACGGCGGAATCCTCGCAGACGGACTCGGACGACGTGTCGCCCGCGGCGCGCCGCCGGCCTGCGTTGCGCCCGCCTGCTCCCGCGGCTCCCCTCGCTGCGCACGCACTCACGCACGCACACGCACACCCGCACGCGCACGTGCACATGCATGCGCACGCACATCCGCCCGTCTTGCCGCGCATGTCAGTACTTTATTATTTCTTATTCTTTTATATAGGACTTTTAAAAACGTCTTCTCTTATAAAAATACTATTAGACGTCGACAAAGTACTGTTACTTTACTTCTTTACTGTACTGTAAACCGTTAAAAAGATACAAGAATATCCTTTATCCTCCATGGTAGTGATAACGGCTGCCCATAGACAACTCATTTTATCTTAAAACAAGAATGCGTTATTACTCTTGTAACCTATAAAGAATAAGCTGAATTGCCTCTCAGCCGGTAATTATACTTGCACTTAAACAAGCAATAAAAGTGTGGTACCTACCTAGACGGACTCCTAATCAGAAAAAAAGTCCTGTCACCGTTCATATCTATACAAATCAAAAAATAGTAGAAGTGACTGTTCGTAGTGTCAAAATAATAGCTTTTTACTAAATGCATATGAAAGTATACGCTGCTTATAACAAAACATAATTTTTGTAATTTTTATCTATGTTTCTAATTTTCTAAACGGCTGTGCCGATTTTGACGGAACCATGGAGGTTTAAGAGAAGGAGAACGATCGCTGTAGATAATTGTCCCAGAAATATGGACAAAATAAGTGAGGCGCTGCGATCGCTAAGTTCTCTCAATATAAGTCATTTTCAGTCTATTTTTCCGATCAGATGCTCTTGCACATCCACGCACAATAAAATATATCTCCATTTTTTAATGTTTATTTTTGTCAAAAATTAAAAAAATACGGAACATGATTATTTTCTCACCAATGCCGCGAAGAAAATTTGTAAATTATTCAACTAACTTCATCTACTTGTACTCATATGCCCAAATACTCAAACGCTACTCAATTTCAAGACGTCGTTAAGTATCGTAGTGTCACAGTCACTATGGCTTTAAGTGATAGAGAGCACGAGACTTAACGACGTCTTAAAATTGAGTAGCGTTTGAGTATTTGGGCAATAAACAGCTAACTTCGCAGCCACTACTCACCGACGTCAGCGCCGCTATAAATTCTACAAATTTTCGGGGACAGGCGAGCTATGCTTTAGTACGTAGCGATCGTTTTCCTTCTCTCTAACCTCCATGGACGGAAATTTCTGTGATAGATAGCTGATGTGATAAGCAGTAACTCAGCCTGAGTTGATTGACTATTATTTTTAGAAAAAAGAAAATGGTCCTCAATGTGTAATGGTAATCAATTCCACACGAACGAAGTCGCTGAGAACTGCTAGTCTTTAATAAATTATTACATCATATATAAATAATTTGACTAACTACAGTCAACCAAATCTAAGAAATACATTTTGAAAGCTGTCAGACTTATTGCGCCAAGCATGCCAACTAAAAAATGGGAACGTACAGTATTCGATTCTTAAAAACATCGATATAGATTATTTAGAGTTAGTAATTATTTACAGTTTGGTTTGAATAATACCGGAATAAATTAATAACGGATAATTTAAAACACAAGATTTATCAGTTTTTTCGTATTTGTTGTTACTGCTTATTTCTAGAGGCAAAGTTATAAAAATTTTAGATTGAAACTAGATTAAAAATAAATTTATTCAATCGTGTGAAAAGTGTTTTGGATGAATTATGTATGAAGGAGTTAGACTTGGAGAATATATGGCAAAATGTAAAGAAAGGTTTAGTGGATGCAGCTACCGAAGTATGTGGTGTTAGTAAGAGAAAGAATGAAAGGAAAAATAATACGTTATGGTGGGATGATGTGGTACGTATGGAAGTTGAAGCAAAGAAGAGAGCATGGCTAGATTTACTAGCAACAAAGGCTGCTAATTCTAGTGGTACGAATGGTGATATTGAAAGAAAAAAGGCAGTCTTTAGACATCTTAATAAGTGAGTAAAAGAAGTAGTTGAAAAAAAAAGAAAGAACGGATAAGAATGATAGAAGAATATCGGATAACTTCCAGGCAAATATTAAAATGTTCTGGAAACTTGTAAGAACTGCCAGGGGACAGTCAAAACAGCCTATGATGAATGCTATAAGAGACGAGAATGGCTATATTCTGAATGATGAAGTTTTGAGTTTAAAGAGACGGAAGGAATATTTTGAAAGCGTGTTTATGAGTGAGGAGACAACGTGTGTACTAAGTGAAGTAGAAACACCGAAAGAAGAGGAAAGAGGTAGCGAGATAAGTTTAGATGAAATAATGAAAGCAATGAAAAGCATGAAAGCAGGTAAGGCTGCCGGATATGATAGAGTTTCACTCGAAATGCTAAGGGCTGGAGAGGAAGTGGTGGCAGGCCTGCTGCACACCTTGTTTAATTTATGCTGGGAACTGAAGCGGGTACCGGTAGACTGGTGCAAAGCCGTGATAGTCCCAGTATATAAAGGAAGAGGGTCGCAGCAGGACTGTAAAAACTACCGTAACATCAGCCTTCTTAGCATTGTGGGAAAACTGTGTGCTAAGGTACTGATTGAAAGGGTCATGAAAGAAACTGATGGAAAAATTTGGGATGTGCAAGCGGGATTTAGAAAGGGAATGGGATGTACAGATCAAGTCTTTTCCATGCGCATGATCGCGGAGAAGTTTCTGGCCAAAAACCAAAAGGTTTTTTGTGCGTTCATGGACTTGGAAAAGGCCTATGACAGAGTGGATAGGGATGTGCTATGGCAAACACTGAACTCATTTGGGTTGAGCGCTGGCTTGATACAGGCATTGGAGTCTCTTTATAGGGACTAGTCTTGTGTTAGGATCAACGGGGTCTACTCGGACTGGTTTGACATCCATAAAGGTGTCAGACAGGGCTGTGTGGCTTCCCCGTGGCTGTTCTACCTATTTATGAACAGTTGTTTGCAAAATTTGAAAGTTGAAGAATGCGGATTAAGAATGGGTGAGTTAACCGTCAAATGCCTTTTGTACGCCGATGATCAAGTTATTCTTGCGTCGTCGGCGGCCGAGTTGCAAATGATGGTTACATTAATGTACGGATCATTAAAAGAAAGGGGTATGAAAGTGAACGCAACGACGAAGACGAAGTTTATGGTTTTTGAGAGAAGAAAGTAAAACGATTTGTGAAATAAGAATAGAAGGGGAGTTGATCGAACAAGTAGATGAGTTTGTATATTTGGGCTGCGTATTTAGCAGGGATGGAAGATATGATAAGGATATAGAACAACGAGTGAATGCGGGAAATAGAGTAAATGGGGCCTTGCACTCTATTGTGAAGAGTCAAAATGTGTCGAAAAAGGCACGTATGGCAATTCACAATGCTGTGTTGGTCCCTACTTTAACGTATGGTAGTGAAAGTTGGGTGTGGCAGAAGAAGCACGAGAGTAGAATAAACGCAGTAGAAATGCGGTTGTTAAGGTTGCCCTAGTCGATGGCACGAACTAAGTGGTGGGCGGGGTAAAAATGCATGCTATCTCAACCGACATTACGTGCGAAAGGGATAGACGCTGTGATGAGCAGTAAGAAGCTAGTGCGCACACACACGCACTCCTGAGTGACGCAGAGCGACGGCGTCATCGCGTATAATTATAATTATACCTACCTATGCGGTTCATGTTTGAATGATAACATAAACTCAAAAGGCAATTCCGAGCTCCGTGACGCAGTAGCTTAGCAATGAGTTGAGAGTTTGAAGTGTGGCTGCGCTTGGGGCTGCGGGTTCGAATCCCGCACGGAACAAATATTTGTATGGTCTACAAATAGTTGTTCCGGGTCTGGATGTTTGTCCTTGTGTAATTTATGTTTGTAAACTGCCTCAACGATATAGGAGAAAATCCTATTGTGGGGGTAACGTATTTTAAAAAGAGAAAAGAGAGAAGAAACAAATTGGTGTTATTATAACTTAGGATCTGATGTGTGAAACGTAATTATTATGAACCCAATTTGGTTGTTATTATGAAAGTTCTTCTGTGAATTTAAGTGGGTGTTATTATATACTAATAATTTCATTGATTTGTTTTTACCTAATTTTTAACCGACTTCGAAAAAAGGAGGCGGTTCTCAATTCGTTGGTTTTATGTATGTTCTAAGAAATATACTTTCCAGATGATCCCACGGTAATCGATAATGGTCAGGTCAGGATCTGATGAAGGGATCTTGGAGAAATCGACGGAACTCTTCAATAAATGACAGCAAATCAACCGCGATTGCTGCTATCGCGTATCTATGCATTCTTTACGCAACCACACAATATAATATCACGCCTGTACCCACTAAAGGGACATAACTCTCAACTAAAAATGGTAACATAAAAAACTTTTTTTTTGAAAAAAATGTAACCGACTTCTAACACAAACATAATTATTTTACACTTTTTTCTGTTTTCTTTATGTTTTCGTATTTTATTGTAGGTTATGCAAATATTACTGTAGGTACTATTTATTTTAAATAGGTATTTATTATCATAGCTAGTTAGCTATAATAGCACACAGGCAAATCCCCGAAGTATATGCAAGCCAGTGTCAGGATAAAAGCTTTTTCAACTGCGCGATTTTGATGTGAGTGGGGCTTTTATGTAGGTTAATTAAATAAATAAAAATGTTAGTTTGTAAATTGTTTATTGATTGTTTGTGTTCAATATCGGTTTGCCATATTCTCCTAGTACTTAGAAAGTTATCAACAATAGGCATTGTGTCACTGCAGGGACAATTACATACGTCTATCAAAATAGTAACGTACCTAAACGGAATAGGTACTAACCGCACAGACTTCCTTACAGAAGTCCAAAGAACACGTCTAGACAAGGTAAGTAATTAGAAGAAAACTACAACTTGAGATTGATTGTAAATCAAATTCACAGTACAGACACAATTAGCGAAATATAAATAAAAATTTGATTTATTTTATGATAGATAACGCTAGTTGAAAACTAAACACTGTATGGGAATGACATCACTGAACGAGTCGGGTGGTCAGTCCAAACAAATAAAAGGCGCGATTGTAGAAAGAGATTCGTTACGAAACGTTTGTAGGCTAGGGGGCTTGGCCTGTTTATGCTATTGATAACGAAGGCTATAAAATATGTACAACTTAGAAACTAAATCCTATTCTCCTATATGTACTTAATCTGTATTCATAACCCAATATCTGAGGTAGGTTTATGCGCTCTGTGATTAAATCTAATTCAAAATATACTATAATACCATAGCAAAGCTACTATTTTATTTAGTAGTAGGTTATATAGTAGTACTTATAATAAATTATATGTAAAAATATGAGTATGTCTGAGGTAAGGTTAAATATTATAAACAAATATTTGGCAAGTGCGAATCGGACTTCCGAGCTACTACATATTACTATCTATCAAAAAAAGCCAAAAATACACGTTTCTTTTTATAGTAGGAAACCCTTTAATTTCAAATTTATTTTTACCATTTGTTGTTATAGCGGCAACAGAAATACACGTTCTGTGAAAATTACAACAATCTACCTGTTACGGATCATGTGATGCAGCCCGCAGACAGACAGACACAGCGGAGGCTCCGTAATAGGGCCCTGCTGGTTACCCTTGGGGTACGGAATCTCTGTATGGTTCTTTCTTCAAAGGACCATATTAGCCACCTACCTGGTTCTCGTATGACATGACCAATGTACTGGACTGACCTCTCAGAGTTTGTTTCGGCAGATCGGGTGTTTCTTCTCAGTTTCATGTTTTTGTTGTGTTAAAGTGTTTTAAAATTATTATTGTTCTTAGATTACTTACATAAATTACATTAGGTATATTAGGATATGAGGCCCTATACGTAAGCACGATTATCGAAAATCTAAAAATTACCTATTCTAATTAAATTTATAGATAATTTTAAGATTTTCGACAATCGATAATTGAGATGTTTTCGTTAGTTGGCAAATTAAAGTAGTTAAGTACCTAATGTACTACCTGTATCGAAAGTTCATTATTATGTACCTACCTGTTTTCAATTTTAACTATCATACATGTGCTTCAACAAACTTATGGGTACATTTTACCAGCTATATTCATCCCGGCTTCAGCCTTCAGCAAGTGGACACGAACAAAAGGAAGCAATTATTCTAAATAAAGATGTAGATATGTAGGTATTACAACCATAAATAGATAGCAGCGGCTAACCTAGTGAGCATGTGTGAGTGCGCGCTGCGCCCCCCTCCGTCCGTCCCACTGATCGGGGAAACAATTTGTAGCGAAAGGCAAGATGTTTTATAACAAAAACGGGCGCGCGAAATTTTATAAACAGATCTTTGGTAGTCTGGATGTCATGAAAAATCTATTGAATGTATCTGTTTAAAATAAAATTATTTGCATTTTTGAATAACTAATCTATCCCTGTATGGTAATTGTTTTGCAATTTTCGTTCCTCTTATGGTATTTATTTGCGCCCAAAGATGTGTTAAAAATAGTGTGGAAATTCGGAATTTTCGACGCTTATTACTTTTAAACATAATCTTTTTCTACTTTTTTGTTTCCATACATGGCTAGATAATGATAAGACAAATTGAAATCATTTTTTATTTTGTACCTACACCATCAAAGAGTGGAGTTATCGCCAGACTACGTTTGTATGGAAGAACGAGCGACTAGTGTACCCTTAAGGAGTATGTTAGGGCTGAATCTGAATGACAAGGTAAGAAATTGTGTAATAAGAGAAGAGTGTGGTTTGCAAGATGATGTTGTGACCAGGATTAAGAAAGGAATGCTTCGGTGGTTTGGTCATGTGGAAAGAATGAATGAGGAAAGAGTGACAAAGAAAATTTATGTTGCAGAAGTGAATGGCAGAGTCGGAAAGGGACGTCCTAGGCGAAAATTTATCGACCAAATTGGCGATTTATTGAAAACGAGCCAAATTAGGAGTACCCTTAACCGACGAGCATGTATGCGTAGGTGTATGGATGTGAAGGAGGCAAGAGAGGTGTGTCAGGATCGTGCCAAATGGAAGTCTGTAGTCTCTGCCTACCCCTCTGGGTGACAGGCGTGAGTGTTTATGTTTATGTTTATTCAATCGCTTTTAGTACAACTAGTTGAGCTGTCGTTGTTTAGTCGTTTATTCTTATTTGATTTTCAATAATACACTCAGTAAGCTCCCGAAATGGCGGGAGGTTGAAATTACGTAGTGGGTTTTTCGGCGCGGTGTTTATGATGTGTTTTTTTGCCTACATAAATTTACGTTCACAAAATAAAAAAATAAACTTGTTTTTTTTCATGAATTATGTAATTTAAGGAATTTTAAAAATAAAAATTTAACTAAACAAATAATACATTAAAAAAATCTATGATTCGATTATTTGAATATTTTTGCCGATTCTTTGAATATTTTTGCCGATTATTCGCATAACAATGAATTTTAATCATCCAAACACTACGGTAAGATACATGGCGACATATCATTGAAGCGGCGCCAAGTAAAAAAGTTGATACTGGTTATTTTTTTATATTTTGCTTTGTTTGAAAGATTCGAATTTAAATTAGCGATAAAAAAAACTAGACACGTAGTAATTAAATATAGATAACCTAGTAATTCTTCGGATTTACGAAAAAGGTTATTTTAAATCGTATGAGTACGCTTGTGCAAAGTTATTGTGGAATGATTAATGTAAAACGTCAAAAGGTATTTCTTACATTTGGTTGACTATAGTTTTCTTAGTATCTGATAACTAGGTCGGTGTTAATTTTAAAATTACATTTCTATTAGGCTGATTTAATTATATAAACCCTTAAAATCTACTTCTTTTCATTAAGAAGGGTATCAACTATAAGTATGTCATGTCTGATATTCTTTATAAAATGATCAACATTTACTGTTGTAAAAGTTTTTTAAATTGGTTTTTCAGAACGGACACTTCGAAACGAGACGATAAAGGCTTTGACAAAGTGGATAAACCAGAAAAGTCGAAACCGATTGCATTGGGGGCGCCTAAATCTATGCGACGTTCCGCAAGCACTTCCGGACTGTCACTTGTTATACATCCAGGTGTTTTTTATGTTTTTTATATTTGTTTGTCTTGAAATAATCATATACGCAGCTGTAGAAGCTGAGCACTAGTTTCAGTACTCTGTCTCACAGATCTGCTCGATAATGTCGGTCGTCAGACTTTACTATACTCTTTCGTAGTAGGTTCTGTCAATCGTTTGATCCGAAATTTTCAAAAAAATGTTTTGCAATCATCAATACTATGATGCGAGCCGGGTCAAATGAACGAATCATTCACGATTGACACATGTCATTGGAGGGAATTAACATACTTTTTGTCTAGTAATTAGGCGCTCAGGTGGTTTCGAGAAATTTCCTTTTCGTCAAACCGCTGCGTTTTGTTATAAGTCAAGTTCTATAATAGGCATTTCTTGATTCTGGGAACGCAACACAATGGGTGCGTTTGGCAGAAAAAAGCGCTAGCAAGCGCTTGTAAGCAAAATGGCGATCGTAAGCGGTAAGCGCTGTCAAATCGTAAGTAGCTATTTTCCTCCAGGACACGATGTTAGTTTTAACCGGGGAACCTAACCTAATTTAAATATATGTTTGTAAAGTATTCATATTAAAAACTTACCAATCATGAATTTTTAATAACATGTATATGTTTATTCATGTCATTATATTACTTAAAACTAATATTGCGCAAAACAACTTATAAACTCTACTTATAAACGAACAAATTAAATAAGCAAAATGGCGGATTGTGTCAGCGCTACTGAAGTAGCAATCGTGTCCTGGCCGAAAACTATTTCAGCGCTTATAAGCGCTTGCTAGCGCTTTTTTCTGCCAAACGCACCCAATATACTTGTAAGGAATGCCACGAAGACGTCACGCTTCTAATGGGGGCCGCCGAGAACCACATTGGTTGTCAGTTCTTCGAGCTATTTATTGATACAGAATAGTGTAAAATACCTTAATAAAAAGAACTGCAAATAACGGACTTAATACCTACTGGCATTCATTCCTAGTCAACAATTCTTGTGGAAACAGTATAATAGATAATAAAAATAAAATCGACCATAATGGTAAATAAGAAATACAACAACGGTAGTACATGTTTATGGCCGGCCTATTGACCCTATTGCCACTTCAGCTTACTGATCCGTTTAGTTATGTCAGTTACTCTGGTTCTGTGTCAAAAATATTGATTTGCAAAATTAATTTTGTGGTTTATTCTATTTTGTGATGCAATAATTTTAGCGAAAAGCCATGAGACCATGCCGATTCATAGTTAAAATATCATAATTTCTAATTACCTTTTCGCAGGTTTTATCCTTTTTGCATAACCACGTCCAAATAAATGGTGAATGTGGGCATCCATGACTTTTTGAGCCACCAGGGCGTTACCACTTAAGAATGTGGTGAACTATTAGAAATTTCATAGTGGGGAGGTAAATTTGTTAGAAAAGTGTAGAGATTAATGTTTCCATCTAAAATTATATTCGATAGTTTATACATTCAATAAGAATCCCTGTAAGTTTTATCCATAAATATTGTCTCAAAGTGAAAATATAGCAAAATTTGCAAGTTAGCAAAAAATTTGCAATTCCCGCCATTTTACGTCGCGAGCCAACCGGCGTATCGAATAAAGTCGCCTTTCGAACATACAGGTTAATTATATTTTAAATTAATTAGATTTGAAAGGGACAAACTAAACAAAGAATATTTCTAAAAGTAGAATTGAAAAAAATGTTTAAAAAATTAAAGAATACGAGACATTGTTTTGTGTATATACATACACTAGACACCAAAAAAACTTTTATTAAAACGCAACGTTTCAATGATGATGACTGTTTATTATTTTAAGTTTCACTTTTGACTGTAGGCAATTAGTAAAAAATAAAAGACGTTTTGTTTGTTATGCGATATATATTCAACGAACGCATTGTGGTTTCGAAACATTATAACTTGTATTAATAAGTGCGTAAAATTGCGAATATAAAACGTTTTTATAATGACAGTGTGACCAACTGAGTAACAAATAAGTTGAACTTAGTGCCCACCAGCGACATTTGACGGGCGTAAGATTTTTGACCCTTTTTTATAGAATAAGGATGACAAGCTTGCTTGCTATCAGGTGGGCTTAGTAAATACTGTGACCTTTAGACATCTACACTTATCCTCGATTAAAAATCCAAATGCAGATGCATTGTCACGCCTGAGGACTATGGAATCCCTATTTAGTAAAAAGGGTCTCCAGGGCAGTTCTCTACATACAGGATACGAAACACAGCAGCATTGAGCTGCTGTTCTGTGAGAGCGTGGTCCTATCCCGATCAAGCTGAGCCGTGCGTCCTATAACCACAATATGGCTGCAGCATGGCTGTACCGCGTGTAATAAATACCTCATTGTATGGTGATGTCTCCAGCAGACGAGATAGTTGCCAGCGGCGGGGCGGCGTCGCCGTGCGCGGGCAACACGTCCTCCACCAACTCGTCGCGCGACTCCTCGCCTTGCCGCGACCCCCCATCGCCATTCGCCATCGCCAACCACTCGTAAGTCACGCCTAACACTTTCACTGCTTGCAGCTGAACACACGGACTCATTCCCTACATTTAAAAAAAACTTGTAACACTCATTGTTATGTTCATAATTTATAATCTCTGTTCAAAGTTGAACAAGTGAATAATTAGTCTCAGGTTTAAACTAGAATCTGTTTCACGCTAGAAGTCGTGCAGAATTGTGCGAACTTCAATGTAAATTATGGTATTTAACAGCGAAATGCCCAATTTCGAAGACTGGGACGCCATGGTTAAGGTACTTCTTTAGTTGGATGGGCTATTCTTAAACCAAACTCAATAAACTTCGTTTTGTAATAAGATGGATGAAGTCATTTAAGCATTCTGAAAATAATAAGATCCGATCAAAGTCCAGTTGGGCTTTATGAATAATATAAAATAAAAACGTATTAAGAATACGACTAACGGCCTCACTTATAAAAGCAACGGCAATTTAAGTAATACATAAAGTTGCTCACTCTCTCACTTTCCACTAAGGCTGGCAACATACATTCGGAATTCCGAACGCAGCAAGTTCATATAAAATTAACAGTGGAAAAACGGGATTCCGAAAGTATGTGGCCGGCCTAAAACATACGTGCGGAATTCCGAATGTATGTAGCGGGCCTAAATGTTAATAGAAAGTGAGAGGTATAGAGATAGTTAATATTTAATTTAAGTAAGAAATAATCAAAAAATATAACTAAGGCCGTTTATACTAGACCCAAAAAACTGAATGTTTGTTATCATTTCGTACCGAAAAAAATTCCTAAAGATTTAAAAACAGTAAAATTGAACATTTCAGGTTGATTCAATCGTCCAAGCCGCCAATAGTGGTGCGTCGTGGACCACGTGGGTTCGGTTTCACTATCCACACGGTGCGGGTGTACTATGGTGACTCCGATTACTACACAATGCATCACTTAGTTTCGGTAAGTTTTTTTTTCTTTAAATAACTTTATTTTTGATACGATTAAGTGGTAAACGTTTCAAAATAAATCTAGATATATATAGTACGTGCCAAATCGATTGAGAAAAACGGACAATGACCTCAGATATGAGCCGAATGTCAAAAGGCGTAACTTACAAAATCTCAATTTAGATGTGATAACAATATTTAAATATTGACATTATTCACACTTCTAGGTCAGCACACATGTTTTGTTTTTCTGTTTCTTAAATAATATTGTCTGTGGTTCCTATAAACATCGTAAAATCTCACGGTACATCGCGAAAAATGTGTTATATTTTATATTTCAATTAATGGTAAGTAACGCAGCAATTCATTTAATAACAGTTTCATATTAAAATTATTTGAAGCAATATAATCACCATATTGAGCTTTTGCAAATTCATCCCTTTAAAATAAACAAAACGCGCGTTACGTCAGTTCGTTCTAAAAGAAACGTGACAATGACAGCCAGAGATGCGTCGCTTTTTTTGGGCCGGCCCGCATGCACCGAATAAAAATAAAGTTCTTATATATTATTGAAAATAAAGTTTTATCTTTTGAATAAGTACGTACTTATTCGGTGTCGTTATTTATCGAATCTTTATATGTGTTATAAATTAATGCTTTTTGTTGTTAAATGAATAAAGTACTTTATAACAATAGATACGATTATATATATATATATATATATATATATATATATATATATATATATATATATTTCATGCCGGCACACCGCCTGTAACTTTACAAGGCGCAGGTTCGGCCGCACATGGAATACTGTTCCCATCTCTGGGCTGGGGCTCCCCAGTATCAGCTCCTTCCACTTGACCGCATCCAGCGCAGAGCGGCTCGAATAGTCGACGACCGAGTGCTTTCCGATCGGCTCGATTCACTGGCACTGCGAAGAGCTGTTGCATCTCTTTTTTTTTTCGCATATACCATGGAGAGTGCTCTGAGGAATTGTTCGGATTCATCCCAGCCGCCAAATTTCGTGAACGCACTACGCGGCAAACGTCGCGATACCATCCATACCATCTGGATGCTTGGCGGTCCACCACAGTACGTTTCAAAAGGAGTTTTCTTCCGCGTACAACCTCTCTGTGGAATAGTTTACCACCGGCGATTTTTCCGGACCGATACGACCTGGGGACCTTCAAGAAACGAACTTACTCCTTTCTAAAGGGCCGGCAACGCACCTGCAATTCCCCTGGTGTTGCGGTTGATCATGGGCGGCGGTAGTCACTTAACATCAGGTGAGCCGCATGCTCGTTTGCCCCCTCTTCTATAAAAAAAAGATGACTTTTCTTCTACAACGATCTTTTACATAACTTTTTAATAATAGTTAATAAATATATATTATATCGATCATTATAAAAAATCATTATAAATAAAGAAAGTACTACACATAAAAGTGCCTGTATATTGAAGGTCATTTTCCGTTTTTCTCAATTGATTTGGCACGTACCATGGTACGTTACTGATTTTTAAAACTTAGTTTAAGTATCAGATATAAAGTATCTGGGTCTCTGTGTTGTGCCTGTATTGTCCCCTTTACTATTTAACTGTATCCCTTTTCCCTTGTATTCTTATGTACTACTCTAGGCACGGGTTTCAATTACGTATTTCTAGTCTATAATTATAACGTATACGCAAAAGTAGCCTATGTTTTGATATAACTACCTAGAGGAAATATCGATGTGACGAAAATCGGGCTTGCAGTTTATTGTGAACAAAATAATTCTATCTGATATTATGCTGTCAGCTGTAGTTAAGTTAATGTATATCATACTAGTGTCACAATAAGGTTTAATTTCGCAGGCGGTGAGCGAACAAGGCGCAGCGTGGGCCGCAGGACTGCGCGCGGGTGACCTCATTACTCAGCTCAACGGCGAGTCTGTGCAAGGACTACTGCATACACAGGTACATTCAATTATTGACCTTATGTCAATACATTTACGATTTATTTTTATTTGTATATCATATTTTAGCAATTGAAAGACATCTGTCATAATTTTAGACGAAAGGTGAAAAGTAAAGTTGTGCCAGATGTGTAAAAATATCATAACATTTATCTTGAGATATTCGTGAAAATAAGACACCACCTTGCTGGTTGACGATTTATACCAGGCTTCCGGGGTTCGAAAACAAAAACAGAATTCAACAATAACTTTACTTTAAATATACAACATTTACAGTTCTGGATCTAATTATAAGATAGAGAGTATCTAATTTGAAGAGTTTTTCAAACTCTTTAAATTAGATTATACACAGCATTTTATATCGCCGGCTTGTCTGGGAAAGGCTTACGTTTGCACAGTAACCAACCTATTGCCAAAATGTCGGCATTGTGCTTCTGTGCTTCGTGCAATGTGTGATATTAAAGTCTGGCCGCTCAAAGAATGCGATCCTGACACCTGTTTTTTTGGGAAGACTAACTATGGGAAAAAAATAACGTTTTCTTTATCGTAACGATATCGTTAACAACGATGAGATAACGGCTACGTTAGTAACGTTGTTTTTTATTAAATTTTATCCCCAACTCGCGAAATAATATGTGAATGAGGCCTTTTAAAGACGGGCATAAAAAACGAAGCTGCTGTCAAAATGTGCCACAGAGTAGGTACATTGGTAGAGGCCGTTTCGAAACGAAACGGGTACGGAGAAGGAGGTTATTATTACCCGTTTCGAAACGGCCTCTAGCAATGTACTGTGGGACACATTTTGACGTCAGCTTCGTTTTTATAACCCGTCTTGACAAGACCTCGTTAATATAGTTACTAGGTAATAAAAAAAACTAAGTAGGTATGTTATATTACTTTATTGCTCGAAATAATACAAGAAAAACTTAATTAAACCTAAAATTTATTTTAATGTGTTTTCATTTAATTCGATTCAGATTCGCTTGAGGAACTGTCGTCACTATCTTCTTCTCCAACCTGAATTATCAAGCCATGATCAATCTGAGTATCATTTCTTATGTCTCTCTCAAAATCTTCAAATATAAGTTTTTTAGCTTTACAAAATTGCGGCCCATCACCAGTGTTGCCAACCCCTATCAAAAAATTAAACCGAGATATTTTTTTCGTTTATCTTCTGATGATATTTTTTTTTTTTAATTTAATTAGGGATGTTCATTTGGGGGGGGGGGGGGGGGGGGGCCGTTTTTTCGGTAAATTTAAATTATTAGAAATAAGAACTAATATGTATTAAATATGTCAGGCAACGTTACTATTGCCCGTCATTTTTGGTGCGTCACTTAGAAATATGATAGGCAATGTTACTATTGCCCATTATTTTTGGTGCATCACTACAAAACGGTTGAATTATCCTTGTACAGCGTAATATGGATTAGAAATATAAACATTAAACATTGTAAATAACATCGGTTTCTTTATTATTAAACATTTTAATCATTGCAAAAGTTACATACAACAATGTACTTTACATAATGGTCTAGTGATCTAATTGGAATGATGAATTAATATATATATTTTTTTAATCGGAAATGCTACGCTACTTCAAAGTTACATCGTCCGTTCGATCTCGACCTGTCGGGATCGCATTCTCTCAGCGGCCAGACTTTAAAGCATATTGTTTGTAAAACATTTTTTTAATACTTAAATTATTTTGCAGGTGTTGAAGTTGTTGTTGACGGCGCCACACGCCACCCTTCGTGCGACTCCATTAGATCAGACCACAATTCAGGTTAGTAGAGCTTAATGAATAGAACTTGGAATGAAATATTCTATGGTATATTTCAAATAAATATATTCATTTTACTTTTGTAAAGACGTTAAAGAAAGTTTTATTAGACGTTACATACATTCCGACACTAATTATTTTTTTGTACGACGACAAGTTTTGTCTTGCAAAATGACAATTGTATGGGACGTTGACCCAGCGCTGCTCGTCCGCTACCCTCTATATTTTGTCACCAGTTGTTGGGAATTTATACAGGATGTCGAAGCGTACGATTAATTCGGTCATTCTACTGTAAAACTTACCGTGCAGGGGCGGTGTAAGAAAATTCCACTACTTCATATCATCCCGTGGGTGTCAATAGAGGTTATGTTATCAAGAGATAGGCAGAAGCATATTCAACATAACAACTAGATAATAATTAAACTTCAGTTTCCAACCTAACATGGTAATTATGAAAAACTACTACACGGTTACTAAGGTTAGGTGTAAATAAAAATAAAATTTTAATGGTGTTTTTAATTTAATTAGTTAATTTGATAATGTCCCCCAGACTGAATTTCGGTTAAAGTAGCCAGTCTTCAATGGAGACTAGCCATTGCACAGAACAGTTATAGTGCTCAAGTGTATGTGCGAGCACAGATGTACAGTCTATTCTCTCACTCTGATAGTCCGATGGGACAGCGGTAATTCGACAAGATCGAAGGGAGATCAGGTGCAGGACAGTTTTTTGAGGCATGGCTTGAAAGAGACCATTAAATTCCTGACTCTGGGGTGCTATTGAGAATTTCTTGGTAGAAAAACCTAATAACTGATTTTAGTATGACCCGGGATTAGAACCCGTACCGTTCATGGTCGGCAATCGCGTTTATGACCACAAGACAAATAGAAGAACGACGAAGAAGACAATTAGAAAATACAACTAATTTTTGACCCCAGTGTGGGTTATATGTTTGTTGGGTCACTGCGAGCAATGATGCTCAGAGGGTGTGTGTATTTATCCGTACGCATGTGTCCAGGCGGGCGGGCGACGTCGCGCCGGCGGCAGACGCGCGTCGGCGCCGCCCCGGCCGCGGCCGCGTCGCCGATGCTCGCTGTTCCGCCGCATCTCCACCAAGCGCGCCTCGCAGGAGATGCACCAGGTACGCACGCATACCTACCACTGCATTCATTGCTACACCTGTCCCTATATATACACCCACACCTACAGTCTACAGTGAACACACTGCTGCACCGCCGCTGCTCGCTTCTCCGCACAAGTACGCATGCATGCTAATGCGTCCACACCTACATCATGACCACACCCATGCCTACTATCAGATCTACATCTTCAAACATGACTACACTCACACTTACAACGTTAGCTACACTTATAATCACACCACATCTACAAATATGAACACTTCTACACTTACAATCATAGTCACACTAAAAATCACACCTACTACTACAATCATGACCACACCCACGACTGCAATCATATCTACATATACCATCACGACCACATCGACATTTACAATCACGACCACACTCACACTTACAATCTTAACTACACCTACAATCACACCTATATTTACAATAATACCCTTATCTGGTGTTACAATATTCGTTATATTTTATAGGCCGATGCCTAACATAAGTTACATACTAAACTATAACTGCATCTACTATAACTACAACTATCGAATAAAGTTTGTGTGAGTATTATATTATAAGGTTTGTACATTGTACACAGATAGTGGCTGGTGCTGGCAGCGCCGAGTGCCCGCCCTCGCCCGCCGCATCACCCGCCGCCGACAGCCCGCTCCACGCAAACACGCACTACCAGCGGTATGTGCCCTTCACCATCATCATCATCATCATCATCATTATTTCGAAATTATTTTGATTGCAAAGAACTTCTTAATAAAATCACAGAATACTAGCGCATAATAGCAGCTTAATGCTGCTGTGTTTTGTAAGATGAATGTAGAGAATCCGAGAATCTTTTTACTGCTAACGAGGCATTCCATTTTATTCTTCAGACCTTGACACCTTGTATATCTTACTTTACTACAAATTTTCAGACTTGGTTGTAAAAGCGTACCAGATGAATGATACGCAATATGTGGAGTCGATTGGTGATACCAGTTACTTGCTTGTGTTTTTGAAACTGTTTTTCTGTAAAAACCCTCCACAAGCCTGTCTAAGCCGTACAAAATCCATATATGCCAGTACGTATTGTAACAGTAAATTTACTTTTCAGGCCGTCGTCCCTGCACGGGCTGAAGCATAAACTAAGTGCGGGCGAAGTGCGCCGGGCGTCGCTGCAGCACATGCCGCTGTCGCCGCTAGCGAGGACACCCTCTCCCTCCCCCCAGCCGCAGCCAGCCTCCCCCACTAGGTATCAACATATAAACTTGGATTGAAAACGTCCGGTTGATGATACCATGTAGTGACGGTGTAAGAATATCCACTACGCCATATCATCCCGTGGATGTCGTAAGAGGGCGACAAGAGCGAAACTGATACAGGAAATGGGAAGTTCCATTCCGCTTGCCAAACGTGGCAACTATTACGAAATCTCCCCTATGAGGCAATCTATGGGGGAGGCCTATGTTCAGCAGTGGACTTTTATAGACTCTAATGTATGGATGGATGATTGAAATAGATCTAGAGAAATAATTAATAATGTTCTCCAGACCGAATTTCGGCCACGGCGGCCTACCTCAGCGGAGGCTAGCCATCGGCGCAGGACAGGATTATAGTGCCTATGTGTGCGCAAGCACAGGTGCACTCTATTTCCTCACTCTCATAATCCGATGGGACGGTAAACCGACACGACCGGAGAGAGATCAAGTGCAGGACCAACGGCTTTACGTGCTTTCCGAGGCACATGGGTGAGACACCGCCAACTTCCTGACTCCGGGTAACTACTGAGAATTTCTTGGGGGAAAACTCAATAATTAGTTTTTTGGCCCGACCCGGGATTCGAACCCAGGACCTCATGATCAGCAGTCGTACTACTACAACCACTAGACCAACGAGACAGAGAGAAATTATTAATATAATATATCATTCCATCAGTGACGAGAGGAACTTGAAGCCTCTGACAGAAATTAACAAAATAACGGCCTACATAAGTCCCACTGCTGAGCATAGGCTTCCTCTTTTTTAAATTTGAAGCGTTTGCTGTGTTCTCCAGTTGATGTTGACAGATTTATCATGCCATACAAATTTCCTTAGGATGTTTTTCTTTACTGCCAAGCGTTTGGCAAATAAGCACTGTGAGTTGCAATGAACAATATTAGAGGTGCCGACTATCGCTGGTCGGTTTGCTCGCTTGTTTTGGAATGTTATCAGCAAGCACCTTTTCTCTGAATTGCTCCAAAAATACCAACTCTTAAAATATAAATTTGGAAATTTTGCTCAACGCGGAGATATTGATCGTTAATTCCAGTCGGAGACATTATCGACCGATCTTGATAGTTTTGGTGATGATTCCTTACCGTTAGAAATATAACGAATGAAATCTGTTTATAATTATTTTGATTATTAAGATTAAAATAATACAGTTAAGACATACTTGGATATATCTAATTCATTCTTATAGATTGGTTTTATATAACCATTTTAAACATTTTTGTTGGTTATCCAAAAAGAAAATAGATTAAGAAAATAGATTAACATTAATAAGAAAAATTGTCGCTATAGATTATTTCGAACAGTTTATGATAAACTGCATGATTATTCATTGTACTGCATCACATCATTGCGTATCAATGTTTCACCGTTAATATGATGTTCGTCTTTTGTATGTAAAAAGGCTAAAGGTCAAAACTTCTTTATCATTCTGTGTCTAATAACATTGGGAAGGAAATTTTCTTGAATGTCTTTAATGTTTCATGTCCTTGTTACTAAATATCATTAATTGAGGCAAACGAAACTTTCAAGCCATTTTTATTGCGGACGCGTATTTTTAATCTAAAATGTTAAGAAAAATCGTATGGATTTGTAATATTTCTCGAAAAGCATTTACGGAGTTTTTTAATGTATTGCAATAGGTAGTTTTTAACAAGAACTTTTTTCGTACAATCCAATAAGAGTGCCATATTTAGAGTTCTTATGACGTGGACTTGCTGGTACAGTAACTTACAAAGGGGATTTAAAAAAAGAACGCGTGCGTTCCGATTGTGATTTGAATATATTGTGATTTTTGAGTAGATGTTTAACTATTAATTACAAGATTTCCTATATTAAAATTTGTTTTTGCGTAAATTTAAAGTATATATAAAATCATTCTTATGAAGTTAGGATATTATAAATTAGTTGATTATTTAAAAGATAGAAATGTATGGAGATATATGTGGCTTCTTTATTTATGTATAATTTATTTTATAAGGTTAAGTTGTAAATTGTTAGAAAAATAGTTCACCTGTTCAATAGTAGTCTTGACGCGTTTTCACATAGTGTTTGTAGTAGAGGTTTGTTAAGGGGAAAGCTTTTGACTTTCTAAAAGTGCTTTATAAAAATCCATTTTAAATAAAAGGTAACTTTATGCTCTGGAAAGTTTCGTTTGTGTATATTCATATGGTATGAGACTACACTACACGTACGGACATTGTGTGCATCCATTGACCGTACGTGCACGCACTATACCTTGATACTGGACGTACGTGCACGTACTGTACCTTGATACTAAATGTACGTGCACGCACTGTACCTTGATACTAAATGTACGTGCACGCACTGTACTTTGATACTGGATGCGCTTATCGTGCGTGCATGCACTGTCCGTGCGTGTGCTCACTATCCGTGCGAGCACACACTGAGCACTCGGGTATGCAGCCGGTGCGAGGCGCGCAGCCCGTCGCCGCTGGCGGCGCGCGAGTGCGGACGGCGTGCGTGGGCGCGGCGCGACCCCGCCTCGCCGCTGCTGCGTCGCGCGCTCTCGCCCGACAGGTCAGCTCCCTTCCCTTCTAGCCTGCCTATTACTCCACTGCTGAACATACGCATCCTCTATACATTGTCTCATAGAAGGATATAAAAATTCATTGCATTAAAACCGAAGCAAATAACCACAGGCTTGTGATGACGACGCTACTTCGTTAATGTTTCTCACGCGTGCCCAGCGTAGCGACCGTATTTACCGTTACAGCCTATTAAAGTTCACTTCTGAACATATGCCTCCCCAATAGGGCCATATTTGGCAATATTCATAACTATGGTAATATTTGCCATAGTTACGATGATTCGCAAGCGTTTGGGCAACCGCAGTTTTAATTTTAATTTTTCCCATCTCTTGGTTAGCTTCCCTCTGTCGCCTCTTACGACACCCACGGGATGCTATTGGGTAGTGAATATAATTATACCGCCACTACATGGTCCTAGCCTCCCTCGTCAACATGTAAATATCCACCGCTGAACGTGGACTGCCGTCTTCAAAATTTACCGATACCACCACGCTAAAGATTGAAGACTGTAATACCAGACGTCTCCTTTCTTTGATGTTACTGCCCATTATAAATATTCATGCAGCAGACATAATCGAAAGAGTTCTATCGGTATTATTCGTCTTGAGGGATAGATTAATCGCCATCTATTGAAAGTATTTTCTGACTTTGCCTCTTGTGACTCCATAAGCTAACGAAACTCTACCGCTGAACATTTTTTATAGAATAGAGGTAACAAACAAGCACACAGTCCGCCTAATGGTAAGTAAATACTTTGGCCATAAACATCTACATCGCTTTCGTCAAAATTTGTCTATACCACTATTACCCGTTATGTGCGTATTTCGCGTCCGATATAACTTTAAGAGTTATATCACCGACTATTGCCAGTCATAAAAATTTACTAGCTTTGTCTCTTATGCCACCCCATCAGCTAGCAAAATTCCACCGCTGGACTTGACCCTCTGCACAACTTGCCTAAATCACCACGCGATTTGAGATCGTCTTACTTCTAATTGAAGATACTGCCTGTCACCAATGTGGGTATTTTACGTTTGGTATAATCGAGATACTTGTATCACCATCTATTGGAAGTCTTAGGCATTTAATGGCTTTGCCTCTTATGGCATTTTACCAGCCCGCAAAAGCCCAGTGTTGCACTTGAGCCCCAATCTTCTCAGTCGGAATTTGCCTTATCTTTTTTGTCATTATATTAGGTACTAAATGTCTCGTACCTTTCATACTGGTCTCGATTAGCAGTATGGGTATTTAAGTCTGACATAAACGATATGATTATACCGCCATTTTTAAAAGTCATTATTTTTTATATTAATTTTTCATGATTAGCACTTATTACCTTTTCTATTATCCATACTCGCCCCCTACGACACTTGCAGGATGTAATTGCGTAATGAATATACGTTAGATAAGACAACGAACTATTACGAGTGTATACATATACTAAGTGTGTATTTACGTATTCAATGCAAATATGCACGTAACGATAATGCGTGCGTGTACACTTAGTTTAATAATTTATAATTCCTACACTGTTACCATTCATCTTGTAAGGGCGTGTTTTCTATACTTGTTTGTTTAATTTCAATGTTTTCATTTAATAAATCTCATCTTCCGTTGAATCATTGTGGTATTATCATTCAAGGGATTGGATGCTTTGGCATGTACTGCCTATCTGTGCTTCTCTTTCTATGCATCATTTAAATTATAGTTACTTATTTAAATACTCGCAATTTTCGTTATGATATGAAATAAGAAATATTTTATAGTAATATAAAATACGTTAACTGTGTTTGTGATTTTATTTAATTTTTAAATTAATGACATACACAAAGTTCATCTACTAACATGACAAGTAACTAACGCTAAGTCCTTAGTAATTATAGTGATCGCATTAGTCTTGAGAAGATTATATATATTGAAAGAGATAGAAAATCTCAAAGATAGTCATAAGTAGAAGGTGCAAGAAGTCAATCTGTTTCTGGCAAAATACCTAACTTGGATAAAAATCCGTTTAGTAGAAAATTTATTATAATTACATAATGATGAATGGTTGAGACAAATTAAGTAACAATTTTAACAATAGTATAAAATAAATTAAGACCTAAGTATTGTGTATATAAAGTCCATTTTGGAATGAGACAAAGGAAAATCCTATGTCTTTTCGCTTATTAAAATATATATTTTCATAAATTATATATATATTTTTTTTTTTTTTTTTTTTTTTTTTTTTTATATTTTTTTTTTTTTATTATATATATAGGAACGGAATATCAGATATTTATCGTCTCATATTTCGTTTCAAGAAATGGAACGTTACGTTGATGATAAGTATAAGCGAGCAAAGACAAGATAAAATGAGACGTAGATGGTAATATACAAATAATACGTAGTGATTAATTTACTTTTTGGTATAACATAGAATTTCTTGTAATGTTACTATGCTCTAGGCTTAAGATATATGATATAACGAAGTTAATGACGTACGACGAGTGTGTTGTGTTGTTAAACAGTTGTACTTAATTATATATTAAAAATAAAAGTAAAGAGTGAGAACGACGTTTATTTACAGATACATTCCCATATGTTTATCTAGGAATACCGACTGCATTCCGAGGAATACTGGATGGTTCGTAGGTATGTTTAAGATGTGTCTGTATCGTCCCTTGAGCTAAGGTGATCTGTTTAGGCTGCATCCACGTTCGGCGGAGGCGAAGTGCTCGATCTCGCCGCTGTGCTGCGGCGTGGGCGTGTCCGTGGGCGTGGTGGGTGCGGCGGGCGCGGCGGGCGGGCGGCGCGCAGCGGGCTGGCGTGCGCCTGCGCCCGCGCCGCCCACGCCGCCGCCGCCCGACAAGCCGGACGAGCCGCCGCTGCCCCGCATCGCGGAGGAGAAGGACTCGCCCACACACCACCCCCCACACTCCAAACTGCCCACTAGGTAATGCACCCACCTATACTTATATTGGTAAACGTGCACAATCCGCACGCCTATACCATGTCAAATGGTTTACACAATAATTGCCTTTATCTTTATCGATACATCTATACCGTTACATTATAGCATATTAAATTCCTCTGCTGAAAATAGGCCTACCCTTAAATTGCCTAATAAGGGGTACATTTGCCACAATTGCCACGCTTGGCAAGCGAAATTGCAACCGCGGTTTTTTATTTTTAATCGTTATTAGGAAGGCACTGCTACCCATCTCCTGATTTGTTTCTCTGTGTGGCCTTTGACAACACTAGTGATGCGCCGCGACTTCGCACAGGTAATTTATGGATCTCAACAACAACGCCACCTACCGGGTCCAATTGTCTTGAATCTAAATCACCTAGGGATCCATTCAAACACATACAAAAATTTTCATTACAATTAGTCGGACAGTTTTTGAGTCTAACGGAACACAATTGATTTATATATATATCTATATATATATTTATATATATATATATATATATATAATTTTTTATTAACTTTTTTTTAAAAACTTTTTTTATTAACGTATCTACATACATTAATAAAAAAAGTAAAGTAAAGTTACAGCCTATATACGTCCCACTGCTGAGCACAGGCCTCCTCTCAATCCTGAGATGGTTTTTAGGGCAAGGAAGTGTTCGCCGCGCTGCCCCAAAAGTTGGCGAACTTTACATGTCTTCGAAATATTTTTTTTCTTATTCCTCAGACATGCAGGTTTCCTCACGATCTTTTCCTTCACCGCCGAGCACGTGGTAAATCAGCACTTAAAATTGAAATTAACAATTTCATTGGTGCTGGTGGGGATCGAACCAGGTTTGCTGGCGTACTGTACGCTAACCATCTGAGCATATTATATCATATACATCTGATTATATTGAGCGAATTGAAACAATAATAAAATTGAAGTATTTTTCTATAAAATTGAAATAACTGCCTTTTACCGAATTCAGGTGTTTATTTGCGTGCCACGCAAACATAAATAACAATTTTTAAATTTTAAGTCTGAACCGATTGTAGTGAAACTTCATGAATAAATGGAGAACAATGCTGTGAGTGATATATGCTATATTTTATCTGAAAATCTTGGAGAATTAAACAATAATAGAGTTTGTTTATCTTAAATTTAAATAACACCAAATTAATAAATCCCACCCAGGTGAGACCAGGGCGGGTGTCTAGTTCTTAATAAATTTATATATCAAAATCATCCTTTTCATTATAAAAAAAATTTAGATTCACTCTTTTAGAATACCTCAAAATGTAATGTAAAATCAAATCCATTACAACAACTTCCAAAATTATCTCCCAAAGAGACCTACCTACATATTATTTCAAAATTCCCCTAAGTTATCAGTAGCTCTTACAAACGATTTTAAACTATGCAAAAAGGTATTAAACAAATTTGCGTACGTGTTGTTCGCAGGACTCCAACGAAGGCGAACACGCCGAGTATCTTCACTTCGTCGCCGAAGAGCGTGCAGAAGTGCGCTTTAGACGTGAACACTTCCTTTGCGTCGCTCTCGCTGTCTGACGAGTCGTTCCTTGACACTTCCGTCGACGCTTCCAACGTCGACACCTCTAGAGAGGTGCACTTAGGTTTGTCAAATGTATCCACAACTAATTGCTTACTATTGTTAAGGATACTTTTTTTATGTGAGAGGGAGCAAACGAGCATGCGGCTCACCTGATGGTAAATGACTACCGCCGCCCACGAACAACTGCAACACCAGGGGAATTGCAGGTGCGTTGCCGGCCTTTTAAAAACGATTAGGATCTTTTCTTGAAGGTCCCTAAGTCGTATAGGTCCGGGAAAATCCCTGGTGGTAGTCGATTCTACTAGGAAATTGTACGAGGAAGAAAACTTCTTGTAAATCGCACAGTAGTGGACCGCAAATCATACAGGTGGTAAGGATGGTATTTCGAGTTCTGTCGCGATGTGCAATGGTGAAATTGAGCGGCTGGAATTAGTACGAAAAATTCCTCTGAGCATTCCCCGTGGTAAATACGATAGAATATGCAAAGAGATGCAACATCTCTTCGCACCGCCAGTGAGTAAAGCCGATCGGAAAGAGTTTGGTCGCCGAATATTCGAACAGCTCTGCGCGGGATGCGCAAATGGAAGGGGCTGGCACTAGGGAGCCCCAGCCCAGAGATGGGAACAGTATTCCATGTGAGGCTAAACCTATGCCTTGTGTGACGGCATGAAATATTGTACCGCTCTGCTGAGCACGCCAAGCTTTTTGAGGCTAATTTTGCATTCTCTTCCAAGTGACCACAAAATTGCACGTTATTCGATATGTCGATGCTGAGGATTCCGATATTGGCTGAGGCAACTAGGGCAGTGCCCCGAAACTGAGGAGATACGACAAAGGGGTTCTTTTTAGCGGTAAACGCGCAAACTTGTGTCTTCTGAGGATTCAACTAGACTAAATTTAGTCGCTCCCAATCCGAGACTTTGTTCAAAGGTGTCTCGACTTCACACAAGTTGGTTCCGATACTCGGTGACATTTTCCTAAGAGATATTGGTACGGCCGGTGTATAAAGCACCACCAATGCTTTCGTCTGCATAGCAACCGTTACCGGTTTCCAACATATCATTAATATGCAGAAGAAACAGCGTTCGTGATAGCACGCAGCCTTGTGGAACACCAGCGTTAATGGGCTTGTAATCGGAGCATGCACAGTCTACTACTACGTTGATGCTCCGATCAGCTAGAAAACTGCTGATCCAATTGCACGATTTTTCGAGAAGCCCATAGGAAGGAAGCTTTGAGAGAAGCGTCTTGTACCTAACCCGATCGAAAGCCTTCGCTATGTTCGAACTAACCGTCAAAGCCTCCCCATTGAACTCGATTGCCTACGCCCATCGGTGTGTTAGATTAACAAGAAGATCACCAGCCGAGTGACCCCGACGACACTGACAGTCACTAATCGGCTGATGCTCCTCAGCCTCCATTATTTTGGAGAACAAAGAGGTGATGTTAATAGGCCTGTAGTTGAACAGATCAGAGCGGTTACCTTTTTTAGGCTTAATAGAGTTCATGGCTTCTGATAGGTGGTGGTATAATCATCTCGGATACGTCAGAAGTAAAATAGCAACGTGAATGGTTCGTGACATCTAATACTACAGTCTTCAATATCCGACAGTCAAGCGTGACGATAAGGCAAATCTTCTACAGTGGGGGAAACCTATGAGCAGTAGACTTAGAGGCCGGTAGAAAAAAAGGGAGGAATCTTCTCTTTGAAAATTAAGCCATGGATTGTATATTTTATAATTTGATACATTTACCCATATTCACCACCTGGATATCCGACTGTTATCAGTTATATGGGTTCCCGTTATCACCCTGTGGTAATTAGGTTATTTTTAAATTTATATTCGATTGCGGGAGGTACTTTTACCACAATTATGTGTCCTGATCAGCAACAATTTTCGTATAATATTACTATCGTATAACCGTTAAAAGGTAGAGATCGCCTAATTTAAAATCTCTTGTAATTTTGGTTTGTCATATTTACCGTATTAAATATCAATAAATATATATCTGCCCTCCCTTTCTCTTGTGTATTATTAGATTTAGCAATTTTTACTATATTTATCATGGTAAAGGTAATAAAATCTACTAAAAATACATGGGGTATGAGTACAGTTTTAAATGAGATGATTTCTACTATCGTGGAATAGAGAGACTATTCATTAAATAAAGAATTCAACAGTTCTACTATTTTACACCCTACTATAACCTCGATAATTTACATAATCTAATACTTACGGAAGCTATCAACTGCAGCGTGGCCCTAATCCATATAATATTTGTTTTAATATTCTTTTTCAGATGAAAGCAGATCAAGCGTGGAAACGAGCATAACTACATCTGAAATGAGCAAACAACTTAACACAACCTTCGAAACACTACCGTCCATAAGTCAGAATGATACACAGCAAAAAACTAGGAAAAAATCAGACTCTAGTCTCAAAGATGAGGAGTTGAAAGTAAAAGAAAAAAGTAAATCAAAGCAAGAAAAATCAGAATTAAAGAAACAGGACTCAATAAAGAAGTTGGAAAAGACTGAAATAAAAACGGAAGAGAAGCAGGTTCAAGAGACTCAAAAGGCTGATGAGAAGTCTAAGATGGAGAAAACGATGGAAAGGGTCGGATCAATTAAGAAGTCAGATAAACAGGACAAAGCGGAAGCAAAGAAAGAGAAACAAGAGAAAGCGGAAATGAAGAAGCAAGAAAAAATAGAAGCGAAGAAAACAGAGTCCGCTAAGAAACTTGAAGGCTTAAAGAGACAAGAGTCTGTGGAAATAAATAAGGTAAGCAATAGGTATACGAAATATTATTGACTTTATAATAAGCTTATTAAGCTGTTGTAGCTCAGGGGCTAAGTGCTCGCTGTAAGAGCAACCCGGGTTCGGGTTGCAATTTTAAGTGTGCGTGCGTGCGTGCGTGCGTGCGTGCGTGCGTGCATGCGTGCATGCGTGCGTGCGTGCAAGCGTGCATGCGTGCGTGCGTGCGTGCGTGCGTGTGTGCGTGCGTGCGTGCGTGCGTGCGTGCGTGCGTGCGTGCGTGCGTGCGTGCGTGCGTGCGTGCGTGCGTGCGTGCGTGCGTGCGTGCGTGCGTGCGTGCGTGCGTGTGTGTGTGCGTGTGTGTACTACTTTCCTATGTTTTGTCTTTTCAATAAATTAATCATATTAAAGGAAGTTTTTAAAATTACTAAATCTGTAATCCCCATAGAATACTATAATAATACATACATAATAGAACGGGGGAGTGGGCGGAGCCCGCGTAGCCACTAACATGTCAATTCACACGTATAAATGTCAAAACGAGATGTGTTTTGACGTTACAATCCAAATTTCGCATGGAAATTATTTAGTAAATGCCAAATTGCACTCTATTTACTACTAAAAATATATTAAAATTTAAACGTGTTTTTAATGTTGATCTTGAACATTAATTAAAAGTCTAAAATGTGTAAATTTACTCAGTCCATTCTATTGTGTATTATAGTATTCTATGAACTCTTCAGTTATACCGCCGCATTTAGCAAATAAATATACCTAACAAAAAAAGCTTAGTCACAATACTTCTTATATTATTGTTTGTAAAATAATTAATATCGATACAGTTTTGGAGGACGAAACAGAAGAATCCGAAGGGATGATGATTTCATCAATTTATCACAGGCATTATCAGTCTGAGCTGCAGTGTCTCTTTTGGTTGCCTGCTCTGTGTATCGGGCGCAGCACAGCAATAGATCAATAAAAGCCTATTATTCAAATATCTTGCAGTCCAGATATTCTCTTAGGGCAAATGCCGTTAACAGTAGAGGCTCATGCTAGCACTGCACTTATACGGCTTCATAAACATAGACCTCCTCGTAATAAATAACCTTGGCTGAAAATCTGTTCAATTTGACATGATGATAGTGACGCGATATACTTTGGGTTCCAGTCACCAGAATCTTTGGAGCCGAACAGCGAGCAAGCGCGGAGCAGGAACAGCATGGTGAGCAAGCTGCTGGGCGTCATGGGGAGGAAAGCCGGCCGCGATAAAGAGGACGAGGATCATCGTGGCTCCAAAAAAGCTGAAAAGCACACTAAGAAGAAGGTCGGTGTCTTTATTATGTTTTGTTTGACATTGATTGATTTTATTGTAGTGGCTGTGTAAAAATGTCCACTATCCCATATGTGGTCCCGTGGGTGTTTTTTGAGGCGACAGAGGGAAATAACTACAGCATTGGCTGCGTTTGGTAGAAAAAAACGCTAGCAAGCGCTTGTAAGCAAAATGTCGATCGTAAGCGGTAAGCGCTGTCAAATCGTAAGTAGCTATTTTCCTCTAGGATACGAAGTTAGTTTTAACCGGGGAACCTAACCTAATTTAAATATATGTTTGTAAAGTATTCATATTAAAAACTTACCAATCATGCATTTTTAATAACTTGTATATGTTTATTCATGTCATTATATTACTTAAAACTAGTATTGCACAAAATAACTTATAAACTCTACTCCAAAATCATTGAAGTAATATGTACTTACGTACTAGAACAGCTATCATAAACAAAAAATATGCGCTACTCTGTGTTCACGCGGTTGGTTTTTTTATCATAGAATAAACACAGGTAGAACGACCCGTAGGTAATATAGGTAAATTATATTGAGAACAATATTTAAGTTTTGTCATTTATTTTGTATATTTTATATGCTTATTTAATATAATATTACATAATATTATATCACAATTACATTTTAATGATATTTTTATCTGAATATTTTAAAAGGTATCTATGTCAAATATAAAAAAACATACTAATTGTATGTTTAACAAAACTTATTACCATAACATTTAAATTACAAATATATTTATTTAAATTAGAATAAGAGACGTTCATAAATGCTGGACACACGAGAGTTAAAAATGGACGAATTTATTCCACTTTGGTTTTGATATGGAAACCTAAAAATAAAATAAAAAAGCAGATTTAAACATGAAAAATGTAGCCTAATTATAATAACTTATATATGTTTCTACAAAAAAATGTGTATAATAATATAATCGTCCTATACCTAAGTACCTACAGAAATGTCGCATCTGAACATATTAATTTCATAATCTATATTCCATGACACGACATGGCGTCTTAGAAATAATTTGTTTTATTATTAATCTATAGTATTTTTTATTGAATAAGTATCTTATTAACCGATGAAAAGTAATTCCTTGGTTTTGGAGCACACAGTCCACCTGATGGTAAGTAGTTGCTGCGGCCCATAGACATCTACATCTATCCTCGATTACGAATAAAAATGCAGATGCGTTGTCACCCGTGAGGACTAAGATGGAATGCCTCGTTTCCAGTAAAAAGGGTCTCCGGTCTCTACACTCACCATACGAAACACAGCAGCGATATGCTACTATTTCACGCTGGTATTCTGTGAGAGCGTGGTCCTTCCCCGGTCGAGCCGACCCATTCGTGCTACAACTATACTACTAATATAATTGCAGCATGGCTCTACCACGTATTATACGTTTAGTTACGTTTACGTTTAGTTGATTTTACGTTTAGTTGATTTTTTAGAAATTGTAAATTGTTCATGTTTCGTGAATTTTCGGGTGAATAGTAACAAATTATGGAAGAAAGCTGTTAATAAATTTAAATATTTAAAAAAATTAATATATATAATACATATATGCATATATAAACACACTTACATACAGATGGAGCTAAAGAAGTTTTACTTCAGTCGTGTGGTCATAAGCTTAAGACGTTTCTAGTGCTTTACAGCACCCATGAGCATCCAAAACGTCGGGAATTGAAAATAAGTTAATTTAACGCAATAAAATCAGTACAAATATTTTTATTCAATGTGTAGTGTTCGCGTAAATTTAAGAAATCATTACAGTATCCACTTATCATGCTTGTTTGTCACCTTTATTCTATAAAAAAAAAACTCAAGTTACCGTTAAACCCTATTGCCTCATAGGGGGGATGTTTGTCATTGTTGGCACGGTTGGCAAGCGGGTTGACAACCGCAGTTTTGTTTTTAGTCGTTATTAGGATGACGCTGATGCCCATCTCCTGGTTTGTCATGGGATGATATGGGGTAGTCCAATTACACCGCCACTTAAATCAGAAAACTGGCCAAGTTTTGAATTACTATTAAAAGTAGCAAAATTAAATTTATGTTGTAATTTACCAACGATTTTTTACTAACTATTCTTTTATTGCACCCTGTCAAAAGACTGCTGAACATAGGCTCCCCCTACATTTCCTTATAGGGATAATAGATTTTTGCACTTTTGACTAGCGAGTTGGAAATTGTAGTTTTTTTTTTAATATTTTGAGTTGTTACTAAGAAGATGCAACTGCCCATCTGCTGTTAAATTTTTTTTTCTGTCAGTGGACTTACAACACCCACAGAAGTTGCCCACAGGTGGTAGATGCCATTGTGCCATCAATAATCAGCGTGGTAAATGTATATACTACCCAGTTTCATCATAATGGGATAATAATTCACAGGGAAACAACCCACCAACCCCACAACCGGTAGTCGTGCCACCTAAACAAACCGAAACGACGCTTCCCGAAAGAAGTAACGAGAAGCAAGAAAACGTAGAAGACAAGAAGGCGAAAAAAGGACGCGGTCGCGCATCTAGCTCCTCTTCAGGGGAGAAATGAAACACTTAAACTTAATTTGTATATTTAGACTTTTCTACATAAGCCGTTTAGGCTATTCAATTAATATTTTGCATGACAAATCCTATAAAAAGAAAATATATGATATATGTCACTTAATCGTGTGTAATAAATAGTTCCATTTCCTTAGACTGGTTAATCAAAACTAGACCTTATTAACAATTTACATGGTAACATTTGAAACTACGTCAGGAAAAGAGAACTCTGTCGATTCTTTGTTCTGAATTTTTTATAGAAGCTATAAGACACAATATCTCACAAATATATCTTTATACTAAATTTGTTAGACTTACGTATGTGGTTATAGAATCTTAAGATTAGCTATTTTTTAAAATGTATCTTGTGTATGGTCTTAAAATTTTAGAATGTGTCGCATGCATTAGAGCCAATTTTCTGTGGCAATGTCCTGTTTAAATTTATTTTGCTTCTAACGAATTATATGTCTAACTAATAAAAGTGCTGAGATACCCTTTGATGAGTACCCTTTCATATAAATATAATATATAGAATAGGATGTTACAAAGACTTAAAATGGAATTAGATTTTAAAATTAAATAACGTGGATACACACGCTAGGAAACAATAAAACAATTTTTATTCGAGTAGCTTGATACTTGATTGACTTATTTGTGCTGGATTTATTCGTTCGTATTCGAATTCATTAAATAGTTAGTGTCGTATTTTAAAGCAAAGCTATTTAGAGATAAATTTCTTAAAATGTTATATTTTACAAAAAATATATGTATATACTTACATTTAATCAATTAAAAAATGTAATTTACTAGAAATTCATGACAACAGCTTTTCATGTTAGGCTCTAGTAGTTAACTATCTTGTATACTTACTTCATATTTTAATTAAAAGGAGAATCAAGAAATAAAACTGCTACTACTATATTTTCAGAATTAGATGTAAAATAAAATTCCATTACTTAGAGCCTAACCTATACTGGGTGATTTTTATACAGTCTGGTAAAAATGGGTTGTAACAGGTGAACGAAATAGAAGCCTATGGCACTGATATTTTTTTTGTTTTATTTTACATTAACATATTATGAAATTGATCTATCAGTAAATACTACTGATCTGAAATAAACTTTCGATACTGAAAAAAATACAAAATAATTTTTGAACAAAATAAATAAATAAATTAAAAACTATCAAAATTAAAATAATACGTCTCAAATTAGTAGCATTTATTGATAGATGAATTTCACATATTAATATAAAATAAAAAATAAAAATTGTAAAATATCGGTGCCATAGACTTCTATTGCGTTCACCTGTTATAACCTATTTTTTCCAGACCATAAAAAAATCATTCAATATATCAAAGAAGAACTATTTTCCTAAAATCTTTCTAAAAGTATTTTTGAAATCTACTGCCATTCATTACTCATAACCTATTTCACTGAGTAACTCCTTTGTAGACGAATTCTATTTAATTCGCGATATTGCAATTTTTCATTAATAAAAACGTCCTTGTAAACTAAAAGACGTTTTGAATTGTTAGGAATTATCATTTCCGGAGCCATGAAAGCTTGGAGATTTTAAAGAAAAAAGAATCCTATTCTATGCAGAGGTTTTACTAAGTTATGATCAGAAATTTAAATGCAGTGATTGACTGCAGTCTTGTCTTACTCTTAGTAATAAAGTATAATAAGCATCTCTTTTCCAGTAGCTGATAGAAAGTCTACAGGCTGTATGTAAAGATCATCAGTTGCTAAAGATTTTATAAGTAAGGTCGACAATAAACGCACAGTCCACTACAAAACCAACCTGAACGGTTATTGGTCTTACTTTATGCATCCTTAGTAGATAGCCTTTGAAGAATATATTGAGATGCTATTAATTTGGTCTCTAGTTCTTAGATAAATGTAAGTTTATGAAGTACAGTCAGCAGAAAAAATAGATGTGACACTACCGTTTTGAAGGTTGTAGCAGAGTATCAAGACCTATCTCCATGACACAAGGTGCATTTCCGAGGTGAACGTTCGGGAAACAATATTTTATTACTGTTTCCCGAACTATAATGTCTTGTCCACAGTGTAGCAGAGATGTATACAGTTTGATTTTGGCGATATGAATTGTAAACTGCACGGTTTTCTTAAAAGCACTTTGCGTACGTAATATTTCTGATTAAATAAGTTTTCTACTAATTGTGCAGTGTTGTGTACAATAAATAAAATGTAATGTAAATTATAGTAGGCTTTGTCTAGACTGTATGTATAAAACTTTAGTGCCTATTAAACTAACTGAAGATTGTTTTCTGGTCGATCTCTTTTGAAGTAACACTTCGCGGTAGCCTAACATTACTTCATCTATAAAATTCTTTTGATGAGTCCTTTTGTTTCGTCTACTGCCCACAATAGAATAAAAAACTTTACGTAATATTTTGTTCCTGTAGAGGGGTTATACTGCTTGTACACCTTGACACATTCGCTAAAAATGTTTGAATAAAATAATACAGAATAAAAACCAAAAATTAACATTCATACAATAATGGATTCTTTACTTTAGTAATAACGATTTCAGCTTCAACGAGAGATCGCCGCTTCACAGTTGATGATTTGTGTATTCCAGTATTACATTGTTGAGGCATAAAAAAGATTATTATAGTTTTTTTTTTTCAACTTAAATTTATATTAACTAGGAATTGCGAACACGCTTGAATTTTGTATAAGAGAAAGTTGTAATTATTCGTGTTACTGAGTGAAGGAGACGATGATGTGTTTTTTTTAATCTCATCCTAGTTTTTAGCTTAGATTTTTTCTTAAAGTTCCATAGATATTAGGCAAGTTATGTGATAATATTTTTAATGTCTGTAGTTTTTTTCTGATTTTTGATTTTTCTAACATCTATCATCTGTTTTATCTTAACATTGTTCATTGTTATTGTTGCTTGACTTATTTTACGTACCCCCATATATTCAGTAAGCTTAAATCATTTATCTTTAATCGTTTAAAAATAATCAACCAGTATGCGAAGTAAGGAATTTCACTTTTATTTCACAGATCGATAACTTAAATCAGGTTTTTTTTAGTTTTAACGATTCATTCGACACTATTATTTCAATAACAGTGCCATAATTTGTGAACTTTGTTATATCGAAATGCTTTAAAAGATCCGAAGAAAATATTAATATATTACAATATTGGTTTCGCTTATTTCTTTAATAAGCTTATTAGAGTTATTAAGATACGTTGAATCTATTTAATGTCTTCCATTAAAAAAAATATTTCTTTATATTTTAGCTTAGACTCTTAACTTTATTTACGATCAATGATGCTTTCTTAACTAAACAATAAAACAATATTTCTGTATATTTTAAAGACTTCTACGTAAACTACTAAGTGGGCACTACGGTACTAATACATTGCGCACTAGGTAACGGTAAATATCAGTTAAGGCCGATTTATACAGGATCAGTAACATAGCGCCGAGAACTGACTCTAATTACGTGCATTCAATAGTCATGGTAATTTCTTCACGGTGTACACACTTTACTGTAGTCAGTGTGCAAAAATAAATTCAAGGAAACGGCAAAATTTACAACAATTGAAGTATTTGTTGAGTAAATTTTATTTATAACTTAGGCTTAGTTCTTCAATGTTTATTTGCTGAAAAACAATTTTTTGTTTCGGTAATTTTGGGATTTAATATAAAACTGAGCCAATCATAGGTTTTCATTGTTGTTTAATTTTCGCGTCATTTTCGTGACAGACTTCAAAATAATCAAGCTCCAATATTCTACATTCAAGTCACCACAGACGCGACAGCGCTGTACTGCCTCCAAATCAATTTAAACTATGTTAGTATCGGGTCAGCACTAACTTGATTGGAATTTGGAGTAAATTACTGACCCTGTGTAAATTAGTCTTTACTTCTTTGGTAGACTGCGAGTGAGCAAGAAGACGAGTTCTTTTCTTGTAAACCGCTAACATGGTTTTGGACAGTTTAACACTGATTTTGTTTAATGTTACTAAAAAACGCTGTCATTATTTATGATTTTAAGTTTATTTCAGATAAGTATATTACTTTATTTCGTATTTGCCTAAAAAGAGTAACTGTCGTTAATGAAAATACAACTACGTGGCATATTTACCGTGCCAGTTACTACAGGGCGCCCGCGCCCGCTGTGACGCACTTTTGATTTTGAATTGCCAGTTCAGTAGTATACAAATAAGTCTTTGGTATATTTTGCAAAAATATAGTAATTCATTATTTCGGAGAATTTTAAAAGGTTTTTCTGTTATAGTAAAGGGACCTCCAAAAGGATTAATATTATATTTCAATTTTCAATTTATTTGAAATTTATTGATTATGGCCGAATTTTACTCGAAGTAAAATGTTATTGATTAATTATGAATAATGAACGTCTTGTCCGTTTTTGAATTTGTGCAAAAATGAACAAGATGCTTATTGAAGTTACTAAACAGTTGTCGAATTACGTAACAAATAGTATTTCCTCCTAGTTCCCCAAATTTCTTTCTATTATTTTTTATAAACCGTTGAGTTTGGGTTTAAACCAACAAAGAAAAATAGGCTGAGCGCTGCGTACATTTTAAAGGTGGTGCAATAACCAAGCCAAAACCTTGATCAACTTTTATATAACGGCACGAGTCCTGAACAAATATCGATTCATAGGTCCTTTGATGAGGGAGGTACTTGCGCCTGGGGTGGATACGACAAACTCTTTCACGTAAGTGGTCCGTTTGTTGATCTTTGTCTTTAAAACAGAAATAGAAACCGAAACTTTTTTATTTAATATAGATTATAAATAATACTTATAGAAAATAACTTTTATTTTTCCGCTGGTTCGGAAAAAATACCTCTGTCCTGGGAAGAACCAGCAAGATATTCAACGAGACTCTTTTTTTAAATAACAGCTTATAGTCATGTTACACAATTAATAACGCAAAACAAATTAGAAATAGCTTGGTAGCGATCACCTTTCCCGGGGCTTATTATCATCCATAAATT